GGGGGGGGGGGTAGCGAGTGGACTGGAGGGGAGGGGGGTGGTAGCGAGTGGACTGGAGGGGGGGGGGGGGTGAGAGCTTCCTATCAAAGTTGGCCCAAGGGGCTTTGGTAGGAAGTGGTCGCTGCAGGCGTACAGTGTGACAGATGGTCTGTGATGCACAGCCGGCTTGCACTGGAGATGGTAACTTGAGAGCCCATTATGCCAGCTTGCTTTGTTCTTGACACTGCTACTGACAACCGAACCAGGTCTACCTCACAGAGTCCATCCACTACATCAACAACTCAAGCAATTCTCAAATATCATTGTTGAGAGTAGTTCGTATGATTGTATTTGATTGGATTTTGCTGTAAACAGACCTTCTGCTCAGCTCCATCAAGCATCACGATCCGTGTTGGAAGTCAAGATATAGACTGCACTGGCAGAGCTGGTGCCGAGGTGAGTGTGAGTTGCACAAAGGCGCGCAATCCTGCACAACTGTACATGCAGGGGGGGGGGGGGGGCGGTTGGTCAGGCCATGGGGGTCAGGCCATGGTCGGACCAACGGTTTGATCACCAAGCCATGTTTATCATGTTTAGTGCCGAGGAGGTCATGCGTACCCGACTACTACCCGCCATATCTTACACGGAGTATGAAAGACTATGGGATCAATAACTGCTTCCGCCAGTCCAGGCATGCACTGTGTTACCATTACCAACTGCAGTATTCAATCACATGCACTGTGGAGATCACGGGTCAATCGGACAACAACAGCGTTTTGTTTGCTCAGTAGTGACTATCGGAGTTCCCGCATTCTGTGAGAGCCAGGCCGGCTTGGCTGGTGAGAAAGCAGCATTGCCTGTTTGCTTGATGAAGTACAGTACCGGCAGAATGCCATGCAACTTTATTGACTGGCTACATTGTAAGCTATTATATATAAATTATCCCTTTGGTGCTGGTAGGTCAGTTTCCACCTATGCTGACATTGCATACCAAAATTGGTCGCTGAGCCGGTGTCGTACGTCTCGGATGCCGGATTTTGTGACCCCTTAGTAGCTGGCCTATTGATAGCTATAGAGAAAAAAGGTTGTGGGGTTGCATTTGAAATTTCAAGTTTGGATCAATGTGATCGTGACCATGGCACGCAGCGCATGCTCAGTTAGGCACCAAAGGGGTCAGGGTAAGTTAGGTGCATGTATGCGCTCAGTTCATATTAGGGAATACCTTGAGAACGTTCTCCTCTGATTGCCAACTTGAACAATTCATTGCACTTTCAGTGTGAACAATTCATTGCACTTTCAGTGTGAACAATTCATTGCACTTTCAGTGTGAACAATTCATTGCACTTGCAGTGTGAACAATTCATTGCACTTGCAGTGTGAACAATTCATTGCACTTGCAGTGTGAACAATTCATTGCACTTTCAGTGTGAACAATTCATTGCACTTGCAGTGTGAACAATTCATTGCACTTTCAGTGTGAACAATTCATTGCACTTTCAGTGTGAACAATTCATTGCACTTGCAGTGTGAACAATTCATTGCACTTGCAGTGTAAACAATTCATTGCACTTTCAGTGTGAACAATTCATTGCACTTGCAGTGTGAACAATTCATTGCACTTTCAGTGTGAACAATTCATTGCACTTGCAGTGTAAACAATTCATTGCACTTGCAGTGTGAACAATTCATTGCACTTTCAGTGTGAACAATTCATTGCACTTGCAGTGTGAACAATTCATTGCACTTGTAGTGTGTTTAAAAAACAATTCACGGCTTTCTGCCCTGTGTAGGTGGCGATTTCTCAAACATCGGACGGACTACAATACACCGGCTCCATCGTATGTCCCAGCTATGCCGCAGCCTGCAGTGTAAGCCAATGTGCTGTGTGGCGCGCGCCTCTACTGAGAGATCCAGCCATAATGTACTCTGCACTCTGCACTTTACACCAGGGGTGATAAAATACCAGATATTTTAGTACTCCCGCTTCACTGTCTGCACTTTGCAAGGAGTACGTGTATAGGCTGTGTGTGTGTGTGTGTGTGTATGTGGTGTGTATGTGGTGTGTGTGTGTGCATGTACATGGACTAATGTTATAGTGTGCAGGCTGGTGGCCTGTTTGCCTGTTCATGCAATTCCTACAGTCAGCCGTGCATGCCGCGTGACTGCTTTTCTACAACTATTTTTATTGTACGGTGGTGAAGTGTAGTCAAATGTAGTGCAGTGCAGTGTAGTCTTAAAGTGTGCAGGCACAGTGCAGGCACAGTGCAGGCACAGTGCACAGTGCAGGCACAGTGCAGTGTAGTCTTAAAGTGTGCAGGCACAGTGCAGGCACAGTGCACAGTGCAGGCACAGTGCAGTGTAGTCTTAAAGTGTGCAGGCACAGTGCAGGCAGTGCAGGCACAGGAGGTTGGTCAGAGACCATGACCATTGTTGAGATACGAGAGGTACCTTGTTCAAGTCCTGCCTGGGAGTGATTTTTCCAGCCGTGCTGCTACCCACAGTCAACTGGGAACTTGTGGCCAGGCACAAGGGGTACATGGATGCGGCTAATGGGTCTTTCTCGGCACTTGTACCAGTGGTTGTGAGACTTATCCCCTCACCCCCACCGTTAGGTGCTACATCTGCCGCTAGGGTTTCCCGGGTGTTAGTGGCCGTCGTGAGTTCCCTTCGTGAAGTGGTGTAGTACAGTTCAGCAATGTGGGGTGCACTTGTGCAGTGTGGAGTGGTGGTGTTTGGTGTTTGGTGCAGTGGTGTGGGGTGTAGTGAAGCACACAATGCCAGCCTTACTGTACTGCAAACCACACACCGACAGCACTGATTCAAACAAAGTTCACATAACACTACACTGGAAATTTCTGTGTTTTCTGTGTTCTTCTTACAGACTATAAGCAGTCAGGCAACCCATATGCCAGGGCCTGGAGGTAAGACAACTAATACCTACATGCTATGCAGTGTTGCTATGCAGTGTTGCTATGCAGTGTTGCTATGCAGTGGACCAAGATGGTGCTTGTAAGCACTGCACGTATTTCCCTGGTAAAAAGTCGCACTCGATTATAAGTTGCAACCCCATTTTCAGGTCTGAACCAAACTGTTTCAATACATTCACAGAAGTAGGAAGTCACACTCGATTGTACGTCGCACCCCCTTCTTTGCCATTGAAGTTTAGTGTGAAGCAGTGTGAAGTGGTGTGACTTATATCCGGGGAAATACAGTGCAGTAGTACTTGACCGAACCGAAATGTAAAATTTACAGAGAAAGAGCAGGTAGGACTGCAAGGTGTTTGTATTATCATCATGATGACGGCATACTAGCCTGTGGTAACAACAAGTGCCACTTTGAATGAATCAAGAAGATCTAGTAACAACAAGTGGCCAGATTTCCAGTGTGGAGGTGATAGCAGTCATAGCAGTCATAGCAGTGGTAGCAGTCAGTGATAGCAAGCTGTGCCTAGTTGTGCCCTGTCGAGCTGTTGCTGGCGGGCCGCTGGCAGGCTGCTTAGTTGCCTGGCTTGCTGGTGAGTCACGTATTGAAGAGCAGCAGCTGTAGCAGCTGTAGCATTTGTGGGACATGGCTATGCTAACTTTGTCAGTACTTCCTCCGTTAACAAAAACTTCGTGATGGATTTTGATGGATATGAAAACGCTTAGAACAGGTCAAGAACAGTTTGTATCACCTGCAAATCACTGGACGAAGGTGATTCAGCCTATGTACAGCGTCTTGACAAGAGAAACTGTTGGCGGAATGAGCAGAGAGTTCAGATTGCGTCGCTTTCGCTCGACTCATTTTTGACCTGCGTCGCTGTCGTCATCTGTTGCACGCGAGTCGTCATCTGATGCACGCGAGTCGTCATCTCTCTCGAGTCGTTGTTCAGCTCGTTTCAGCCTTGCCTCGGCTTCTTTGATCACACTCCGCTGACCTTGATGTCGCCGTCGTTCAAGTAAGTTGGCTTTCAATCTGCGTGATCCGCCGCGGTGGCGATTCCATGTACTCGTTTCCACCAGGGAGTCGTGAAAAATATTTTACGACTCCCTGGTTTCATCTTCGCTGTCCAGAACTTCGCGAAAGGAGGAGTAAAGGCACAGCCAAACTGATTCCATTTTCTCTAATGGATACCCCTGCCAGCACTGAACGGCAGCGGCTAGCAAGTCCTGTCGACTTTCTTTAGCCACGAGACTCGCATCGGACTGCAGACTTCTGAAAGAATGCATGGTCATCAGCATTCGAATCTGCGTTTTGCACAGGTTGAACAGGAACTTGAGGTCAGAATTATTTTCATTGAGCCGTATGATCGGAGCAGCTCCTTGTTCACTCGCTCATTGTGTGGGCTCGCTGCTCCGTTTTATCGCTCTCTATCACTCTCCAACTTACTCGGTGCTAAAGTGGTAGAGAGGCCAAGCAGCGCAATATCCCCTCGGAGAAGTGGTATTTCAGTTTCGCTCGCCATGACTGTCATCACCTATGTTTCCACAGCGCAACCATCGATTCCGCTCGGCTTGTGAAAGGTCGCTTTCCTTGCATCGTACCTCTTTCATGGCATGCCAGGGAAGGCCAAGAAAGTAATTGCGACTCATTTCACGGCAGTTTGTGCCCAAATCAGCCCCTCAAAATCCATCACGAAGTTTTTGTTAACGGAGGAAGTATATTTCATGGCGTATAAGCACATCATGCACGTTACCGGTTAGATCTTTGAGTATACATGGTTGTTCAAAGCAAGCCTCTTATTAACCACAGTAATGTGTTAGTATAGAAGACACATGAGGGGTGTGATGCAGACTGCAGTGGAACCAGTGGCACAAGAGAACAATGTACATACATTGCTATTGTGTATTTACCTCCACGATGTCATTGCTGTGGTGTGCCTTATCTCCATGATGTCATTGCTGTGGTGTGTCCTATCTCCATGATGTCATCTTAATGATGTCATTGCTGTGGTGTGTCTTATCTCCATGATGTCATTGCCATGCAGTGAGCACCGCTACCACCCCAACAGGAGGAGGAGTAACAGTCGCGACAACTACTAGTAGCGGTGCAACTGTTACTAGTCCATCTATGTCACTTTCGCAGCTTCTCCTCCTCACCATCTTCAGCACGTCATTGCTCTTATTGGCCTACAACTAACCAAACGAAGACGATCGGAGGCATGTGAGAGAGAAAGAGAGAGCGGATAGAGCATGTGAATTGTCTACAACCTGGCTGTATTAGGCGATGAGTCCATTTCGACACTTGAACTTCTTACTTCACATACGTCATTTGTATCTCTTCTAGGCTTAGTACAACCAGGTAGCATACTTACGACTCCACTGTTTTCTCTTTGTTATGAAATATAATAGAATTGTAATTACTTACAACACAGTACACAGTTTGAATTGGTTAAAGGCTCTAGGTAATTTTTTCAAGATTTATTTGGTAGTACAGTTGCGTACGTACTATGTTCCCAGCACTCAGTACTATAGCATAGATGCTGCTTAGAATCTTAGAATCTTAGAAGTCTTAGTGCTGGACACTGCAAGATAGAGGCAGCTACAGAACGTGCTGAACTGTTGCTTTTCCTTTAGCAATGCGACTTCTCTTAGCAGTTCCCTAGTAATTTATCTATCAACAAGCTGCCACACGGACCCGAAGTATTGTGTACATGTACATAATGCAAGAAGCAGCAGCCATTGTTGCTATGTTATGTGCAGCTATGTGCTATGTGCTGTGTGCTGTGCAGCATGTGCTGTGTGCTGTGCAGCATGTGCTGTGTGCTGTGCAGCATGTGCTGTGTGCTGTGCAGCATGTGCTGTGTGCTGTGCAGCATGTGCTGTGTGCTGTGCAGCATGTGCTGTGTGCTGTGCAGCATGTGCTGTGTGCTGTGCAGCATGTGCTGTGTGCTGTGCAGCATGTGCTGTGTGCTGTGCAGCATGTGCTGTGTGCTGTGCAGCATGTGCAGCATGTGCTGTGCAGCATGTCACAGTGTAAAGCTAACACTCTGCTATGTGTAGTTTCTGGGCTTCTAGTATTACTGCAAATGCAGCAGTATTGGGTGCCAAATCTCCTCTTCCTTTTTTCAGTGAAGCAAATAATATTATACGTTCACCACAAATGACCCAGGCCAGGCTGGCTTGTTCCTCAGTCCAGTCTCAGGTCCTCTATGTTCCAGAATCCCGGCATGAATCCTAAACCTGGGTAATTTGCTTCAACTTTAACTCCGAGTTTCACGTACCGGTACCGTCAAGTACCATTGATCCGCCCCCACTCTAATTGCCGCCCACTGTCGATTTTCTGCCTGTGAAGCGACTTCGGCGTATACAACGAAATACGATGTCGAACCGACGCATGCACTGCTGTACACATAATGTGCGAGTGCAGGATGAAAATGTGCACAATCCAGCTCATGGAGTCTGAACTTCCACGTTGTTGTACATCGTACTGCACTTGACAGCCTTGATCTAATTCCCGCCCCCTGCCGTAAACACAGCTGGGAAGCGACATAGCGGGGGGGGGGGGGGATCAACGGTACTTTACGGTAGTCACGATCATCAGGCAACAACATTCTGATCAACGTGTTTGCTGCATCATCCCGTCAACAGAATGGGTACAGAAGACATGTGCTCAGTGTAGGTCACTTCACCCACTCTCACTTACTGGTTGCTAAGATGGGAGAGAGCGTATGCACAGCGAGGCGTTAGTCCCGCCGAATCCAAACGAATTGACCACAGCCACACGCCGCACCGGCACTGTGCTGCCTTCGCTGGCGTTGTTAAGCAACGACACATTCTGGCGAGCAAAGTTCATATCATGTGTGCAGCTACCGGTATCAGGCGTATTCAAGTTGCGTATCGCTGGTAGCTGTGCCTGCAGAGTGCCAGGGGTGTAGGGACCAAAGACATGTACACAGTACACCAAGAACTGGGTTAGAGTATGGGCAACATACCAATGACTGGGTTAGAGTACGGGCAGCAGACCAATGGCTGGGTTAGAGTATGGGCAACAGACCAATGACTAGGTCAGGGCACGGGCAGCAGAAACGCAACTCCATGAAAACACTGGGCAGAAAGGACACAACTGCTTTTACAGTTCTGTCAAATAACTACTTGCCCAGGTGACTATCTCAAGACGAGCATAACGGCTCTGTTTCACATGTACAGTGCAGCTCAATGAAATCACATCAAGAAAGTCAATTGCACACCGGGCGCTGTACAGCCCCAGACCTGTGAACTGCTCTGCTGCTGCTGCTGCTGCTGCGTGTGATCGGATTCCATTGAGCAGCACTGTACATGATCGATTTCAACTTTGCCACAATGCACCACAATGCACGTACATTGCTGCAGTCTGTGCACAGCTGTTTTGCTGTATATGTGTTCATGCTGTCTTGCTGTCTTGGTGTCATTAAAGACCTAGCCGTGCTCTAACTACCCTTGCTGTTTACACGGATCAATGGCATTGTCTTCTGCTTGCTCTTTCCTTTGCGTTGGTTGTTTTTTAATTACTATTGATTACTTCATCTCTTTCACACCGCTATACACCACTACCCAAAATACGGTCTCTCGGCTACAAATTCTTCCACAAATAAAAATAACACACCCTGAGGAAAGATTACTCAATCTGTTTCTTTTTGCCCATGCACGAGACTGTAGTGGTAGTTGTAGCAGTACATGTAGTACAGTAGTAGTAGTAGTACAGGGTTGTACATACCTTGTTCACTGCTAGCATTGCAAAGATACTCTCCACTGCACCAGCTGCAGCCTGTAGATGACCAATAGCACCTGAACAAGGACAGCAACGACAAGGACAGCAACGACAAGGACAGCAACGACAAGGACAGCAACGACAAGGACAGCAACGACAATGAGCAACGACAAGGACAGCAACGACAAGGACAGCAACGACAATGAGCAACGACAAGGACAACAAGAATGACAACAGTGATTTAAAAAAATCACTGTTCTCTTGAGACTCAGTCAGTTAGACAGTTAGACAGTTAGTCAGTTAGACAGTCAGACAGTTAGACAGTGATATAGAACTAGGACTATACTACTGTACAAAGAAAGCAAATCCAAAATCCAAGCCAAGGTGCTGCTGAACCAAATCCATACGTCTCGACTCTGTTAGCACCGGGTAGAGTGTGGCCATAGTCTTGCCAACACTGGGCTGTGCACATGCATGGCGCATGGGTGCAGAGTGCATGGTGCATGGGTACAGGGTGCATGGGTGCAGAGTGCATGGGTGCAGAGTGCATGGGTGCAGGGTGCATGGATGCATGGATGCAGGTTGCATGGGTACAGGGGGCGTCGAACGGGGAGCATGATCATCATCATTCTCATCAGTAGCAGCAACGCACACACACGTACACACGTGAGCGAGTGCACATGCATGCCCCCCCCCCCACACACACACAAGCATGTGCATGTGCATGTGCAGTGAATCACAGATGATGTACATACTCTTGAAAGCTGTAATATGCAGGCGTTGACAGTGATCTTTGAAGACTGAGCGAATGGCAGATGCCTCAGCTGCATCGCCTGCACAACATACAACACACAACACATCGGAATAGGATGGCCAAGACAGCTACCTATGCACACCCTACACTTGCTGGGGTAACCAGTATAGACAGCACACTGCTTTGATAGAAGCAGACACTAGATGCACTGGTACCTTGAAGTGAAATTGGAGTTACTTGGTCACGTGGGTCTCCCCGGGAGAGGGGAGAGAGACTCAAAAGGAATCTTGGAAAGATGACTCAATGGGCTATTGAACCGCCCAACGGCCGACACTCCGAGTGGACTTGAAAAATGATCCCACTTATGGGCTCACCACACATCAGTAAGTGGGTGAGGACAAGGTGCAGAAAAAGGACACACACACACACACACACACACTTGTACTTGTACTTGTTGCTCACTGCCAAAACTGGTCACGTGGGTCTCCCCGGGAGAGGGGAGAGAGACTCAAAAGGAATCTTGGAAAGATGACTCAATTAGCCATTGAACCACCCAACGGCCGACACCTCCTGAGATCCACCAAAACTCTGGGTGGACTTGAAAATGATCCCACTTATGGGCTCGCCACACCTCAGTAAGTGGGTGAGGACAAGGTGCAGACAAAGGATTGACGGCATCAGGGTATCCGTCCTGGGATCCAACTGCAGTTACCCCTGCCCCCAGTGAAGGTAATACTTGCTACTAGTGTGGGTGGCTAAATCAGAGTGGATCTGATACAAGCTTCACTAGCACCATGATTACACAAGAGTTAATCTAGCCAGAAGTAGTCCATGGTTAACAGGTATGTATACTTCAAATAGAAAGTATATGAACCCTGAAACCAACAAAGGTGGTAGGTACAACATTACACCTTCAAGCAGCCGAGCCCGTTGGAAACAGAACCAACACTATCCGGCATGAGTGTACCCACCAACCGAACTAGCTGGCACACACACACACACACACACACACACACACACACACACACACACACACACACACACACACACACACACACACACACACACACACACACACACACACACACATGTACCATGGACACACACACACACACACACACACACACAAACACAAACACACACACAAACACATACACAACACATACAAACACACACACACACACCTGACCTTTGACGCCCATCGCCGGAGGCGATGACAGCAATGCTACAGCAGAAGCCATAGCAACTTGTGCTGGGATTGCACCATTCAACAGCTTGCAAGGCTGAAGAATTGACCGTCACTATTCAGCCTGGTCTACACCATACAGCTATTTGAAGTGATTTTTCTGGCCAGTGAATACACACACACACACACACACACACACACACACACACACACACACACCTTGTAATGTAGGCTCTCTTACCCAGTGGAGTGGATGTAGCATGAGCAGCAAGGAATGTGACATCACTAGGTTGTAGGCCAGCATCGTTCAGTGCATATGTCATGGCTGCCATCGGACCACTGCCATCTGAATTAGGGGCAGTGATGTGGTGAGCATCGCCTGTTGTGTTGTGAAATAACAAACAGCCATGAGGAAAGATGGATAGTATCAAAATTCTGCCAAACATGTCGTGGCCGATATACCACTGAGTATGCGACCAGGCACAACATGTGCACATAAAATGACATGATGGCAGTATGACACCATGGCAGTATACATATGACATGATGGCAGTATACATATGACATCATACAGGTGGAATCCTGATAATTCGAATATGGCTTAATTCGAACATACCGCTTACAACATAAAAAATTCTGATAATTCGAACCTCGAACCGGACATGTCCGGTTAATTCGAAGTTCCACGGATTCCACTTAGGGAGCATCTCATAAGTTCGCATTTATTTTGCAAACGTAACGCATTTCGAATAGACTTTACCCCCCTACCTCCCCCCTCTATTCGAAAGTCTTGTCGCACATTTTCTGTGTTTATCTACTGTACACGTCCATGCCCCATACTGCTTATGTACATGTACATGGATATGAATGTTTTGCTAGAGCGGTCGTGAATGGCATACAGTAGTACATGTACCGCATTTACTGAGTACAAGTACAATCAATGACATGTACACGCGCATAAACATAGTTCCTCCACAACAACATTATTGTTACTGTACTGCTGTAAACGCTGGCCAGGTACACGGTTTGATCAGGCTGGTGTGACATTTGACACCTCTGAGTAGCCTGCAGTGCAAGGGTTAGCTGATCTGCAAACACAGGTAGCTAGTAGTAGATCTCCACCTAAACACACTCATTTGCTGCAGGGATCTAGCACGGTAGTAGATTGTACAGTTCCAGAAAATGTGCGAACAGTCATTTTTCTATTCGAAAAGGGCGCTACCCCCCTACCCCCGTTTCGAAATGCGTTACGTTTAGAAACAAAATGCGAACTTATGAGATGCTCCCTTACATAGAAAATGTGTGGGATTTGTGCTGATAATTCGAAGTTAGCAAAGTCACTAGTGTAATTCGAAGTTAAGTGTACACTATATCGGTCAGTTCAGTTTGCATGAGCAGGCTGTGCCGGTCAGTTCAGTATCCGGGAAATCTGTGTCTAAGGTCCATAGCGCAACTCTGCATGACCATGACTGCATGAGAGCATTTTGACATACATATTGTGTGTTGTGGGTTCATGGTTAGATAATTAGAATGTCCAGATAATTTTAATATAGCTATGAATAGGATGAAGGCCGCAGACATCACGCAACTACGTTACTTGTTTGACATGTATTTACTGTGTATTTTATAACAAAAATATTATTGAAAACCCATAATCGATTTTCTTGTTCCTATCATCAGTGGGAAAAATACGGAACTAAGGATACAACCAAAGAAACTGAAGTTAAGTACTGTAAATAGAAAGGTGTTAGAAATAACAACAAGATACAAGTGCAATAAAACCACTAGAGGAAACGCAAAAAGGTAACAAGATTACGTAACCAAAGGCGAGAAGGCGCTAAACGAAGTGTCAACCTACGAATACAACTTCAGTGCAATTTTTGTTATAAAATACACAGTAAATACATGTCAAACAAGTAACGTAGTTGCGTGATGTCTGCGGCCTTCATCCTATTCATAGCTATATTAAAATTATTATCTCCACGTAGATTATTTGTATATTTCAAGTGGAGATGTCCGGATAATTAGAAGTTTTTTTCTGGCATTTTGAGGTTCGAATTATCAGGATTCCACCTGTAGCAGTATACATATGACTAGGGGTCAAAGGGGTGTACCGGGTACCCGCCCGATAATCTCAGGTACCGTTAGTAAAAGGGTACCCGTTTGGATTTCGATGATCCAGTCAGTATGGAGCAACACTGCAGGGATCGTGTATTCCAAGCCGGAGTCAATTATTTACAACTCCACGCTGGATGTCTGCATTGTTGTTGCATTTTCGCACCTAGTAGATTTACCTCTGCGACTATCAGACACCAATCAATTATGCGACTCACATTGTGATATCAAAATACAACCCGAGAACAGATAAATTATATCTTGATTTATGCGAAAATTGCGCAAAAAAATTAAACATGGCTGCTAAAGGGAACCCGTTAACCCGCCCGTTAAGAAAATTACCCGTTCGTTAGTTAAAGGTACACCCGTTTGACCCCTACATATGACATCATACATAAAAATTACTAATGTATAAGGCACTGCATACACACACAATGTGGCAGTGGGGTTGCATTGGAGCATTGGAAAGCAGCCTGTGCAGTCATACCTGACAAACCATATCCAACCACTTCACACAGTATACCAGCACCACGCTGCACAGCATGGTCGTGTTCCTGGACATTGAGCACGCACACACCATGCACACAAAGACGCAAACTCAAGCCAACAGTTTCCAGTCCTATCAATGTCAGAAAGAGAACAACAAGCCAGAGTTTGCGTAGACTCTGAATTATGGCTTCTTGACAATGTCGATGTAAAGATAGGTAAAAAAAACATGTCACAGTCAAAGGAAGGGGAAGACTGAATTTTCGGACCGGGCATCCGGGCAGGTTGCGTTGGGACCTGGTATCCGGGAGGTTGGGACCGGGTACTGCCCAACACTAGGCTTCTCTTACCACCCTTATCCGGGCAGGTTGGGGCCGGGCACTTCCCTTACCACCCTTATCGGGGCAGGCTGGGACGGGGTGTTGCCCAACACTAGGAATTGCCCATAACTCAGAACATACAGTCATATTAAATCGTATCCATTGAAGTAAACACGTTTTATGCAAATCAATAGTTGTAGGGGCCGTAATCGCTGAAAGGTCATTTTTTGTCAGAAAGGTGGCTGGTAGACAGACGTTCCCGGATTGGAGGTGTTCCGACAAGGCCTTAAGGGGAGCTCCACTGTAGATACTCCTATTGCGCAATACTAGTGTTTGGGATAAGCTGACAGAAAAGATTTCGGGTTTGTTCTCAGCATCCTCAGTTCAGTGCTCAGCTACAGCTACACATACACACACACACATACATACACACGTGCACACACGTACGCACACACATACACACACACATAGACACACACATATACGCACACACACACACACACACACACACACACACACACACACACACACACACACACACACACACACATACACACGTACACACACGTACGCACACACATAGACACACACATAGCCACACACATATACGCACACACACACACACACACACACACACACACACACACACACACACACGCGCGCGCGCACGCGCACACACACACGTACACATACACATACACACATGCGCGCACACACACACACTCACACACACGTACACACACACACATAGAAAGCATGCAGCAAGACCTTACTTCAAGCACCACTGCTCCGGCACCCTCACCCATGACAAAGCCATCTCGTTCAGAGTCAAATGGCCGTGAGGCTTTCTCCGGCTCAGAGTTGAAGTGTGTGCTCAAAGCACGTGCCCTGCACACGGAACGATATACGAGAGTTCGTTGGTGATGGGAATACACCCACAGAGTTGCACTAGCAGAGCCTGGTGACAAATTAAAATCAATCGCATTCATGGTCATAATGGAGCACTAACTAAAGTGGGGATGGACTGGAGGCTTCACAACAGCATTGCATGATGGCAACATATCCAGTAATGAATAGAATGATAAGTACTGTAAAACCCGATCGTTTGCGCCCGTTTTAGTTTGTGAATTGTGATGACAGACCATGTTGTGCCTGCAAACGTTTGCGATCGGAGTCAATTTGATGATTGACTCGAGTCTACAGTTTCGCATTTCGCGCCCAATTACTTTCGCGATTTCACACCCATCGTGAAAATCACGAACGTTTCAGGATCGCAAAGGTTTCTGGGTTTACAGTAAACGTATGTGAGAGCATGTGAGTGTGTATGTGCACACGAGTCGTGAGTCACGTGTGTATTTACAGTCGTGGCAAGTGAAATCCGACACTTGGCATAAGGGACTGCACCATGCCATTCTGCAGCCCCTGCAGCCCGTTATACCATGGTACGGTACGGAGGGCCTGTTTTCAGCCAATCAGCGCTCGTCTAGCCATGGTTATATTGGCCAGTATAAATCCCGCCCCGGGATTTATATTGAATATAAATCCCGGTGCACGGTACGTACGCTAGGGCACTGCCACCGTACAAGTTCACTGCCTGAAAGGCAGTGAACTTGTACGACGGCAGTACTCCAACGCACGGACCATTCACAACAGACACAACATACACCACATGCACGTGTACACTCCACAAAGAACGGCATTACTGACTAGGAACAGTACACAATGGAAAAGAAGAATGACCTGGAATTCGTCTACTGAGCATTCTATTATACTGAAACTGAGGATAAAGAACGTCAAATAACCACGAAGTATCCCGAATGGATCAGCAATGTACATTATACTTCGAATAGTTGAAGATCATCAACAGACTGTCTCCTTGGTAACTAAGTTTATGATACAAAGTGTACTTTAAATCCTCCTAAACCGATTGGAAAACGCTAGAATGGAGTGAAATGTGATACAGTGATACAAAACAGTGTATGCAAATGCATCTACGTGCAAGTAAGCAAACCTGATTAGAAGATGCCGCATGTGAAAATCAGCACTGCACAATATCATGATAATAGTAACACTTACTCCCAAAGAGTCCAAACTGTACTGTAGTCTAGTCTAACTAGTGACGGTAGTTTGATTCAACGACAACTCCAGCACCCCAGCAATTCAGTTGACTTCCGCATCACTCACGAGACAATATGCTACAATATGCACTGGAACTGAAAGGAAATCTTATGCCAAACATCCACGGAGGAATCTCCTTCTGATCTTGCTCGACCATTCTTTCAATTGACAACTGATAACCAGCAGAACATGTTCATGTACTGTTTGATGTAGGAGATCTCCAAATAGGTTCGTTGTTCTGGAAATGCGGAGGGGTACCTAGCATAAGTAGGATATCCATATAAAAATCGCTCTGTGAGCGGTTCTGAAAAACCTTTACTGGTACTGCCCCGTCGTAAAAGTAAGAAATTAGAACTGGCCCATTGTCCCCCCAAATGCGAACTGATCCACCTAAATCGCAAATGACGGGACCCGAACGCACCAGTAGCACGAGGTCGGGAGGGCACAGGATCACGGCAATTATCATAGGGTAACACCAGTAGTAGTAGTAGTAGAATTTATTATTTTGATAGGAAAGCCTACCGCTAGTACAGTACATGGCCTATGGTCCGGACCAACGTCCCCATCTGCATCCACAGGTAGGAACCTCGTGCTACTGGTGCGTTCGGGTCCCGTCATTCGCGATTTAGGTGGATCAGTTCGCATTTGGGGGGACAATGGGCCAGTTCTAATTTCTTACTTTTACGACGGGGCAGTACCAGTAAAGGTTTTTCAGAACCGCTCACAGAGCGATTTTTATATGGATAATTTCAGCTCTTTTTCCGTTCCCTCCCCACTCCAACCCCGAAGGTAAACATGATGACCACGCGCGCGATGTACTGTATGTAGCCATGCAACTGCAATAACACACTGATACATACCAGCCCTCCCCGCCTCGCTACCCCGCACACAGATACACAAACATGTGTATGCACACGGCACACACACGTGGCCACGCACACATACGCACATGCACACGACACAAACAGGAAATTCTTCATGTACCGTACTGGCAATATATGTTGCCGCAGTGAGGCCATGAAGCGTTACATTGGCACATGTTTGCCGCACGCAGGGCGTTACATGCAAAGTCGCACAGGAGCCGTTACACAGGTTTCTATATTGCCGCAGTCCTTTTTTTGCTATTGCCGCATCACTTTTTTTGCTATTGCCGCATCATTTTTTTTGCTTTTGCCGCATCATTTTTTCTTTTCATCCACATTGAAGGCACAGAGATTCAGTTGCTATCCAACTGTTACAAACCCGACGGCAAAGGGCGACAACGATATCAATAGAAGACTGTATATTTTAACTATCAGAGTGATCTGTTCACAAAAAGATCATCAAAAGGAAAGTGACATAGGGGAAGAGCGCTTCCTCCAAAAACTACTTTTCACCACGCGGTACACGTGCTTTCACAGTTTTCAGCCTTTTTTTGCAGTGCAAACTGCAATGAAAAGATCGCCGCACCCCGCCGGACGCGCGTTACGAACTCAACGAAAATTTGTCGCACTAGCCTGGTCGCGCGTTACGCCGCACCCCCCTGCGTTACGCGTTACGCGGCAACATATATTGCCAGTACGGTATAATGCCATGCAAAGCAGTGGCCACCGTACTTGAGGAAGTCAGTTGTGAAACAAAAATAATTCAACTACAGCGTGTAGACAAGCTGACGGCCAAAGTACAACATAGCAAAACATGACATTTGCCCAAGGATTGCAGTTTGCAGACCATGCCATGGAAGCAGCGAATACAGAATGTAATAATTATCATACAAAGTGACAAGCAAGGACGTGGCCATCATACACCAGAAACTTGCAGAAAGTCACATATCCAACAGATAGAGAAGTGAACAGCAATCTGATACAGCCCACACAGGACAAAGCGGACCTGATACTCGTCCCAGGATCGCAAGTGGCAAACCCTTTTCAATGCATAACATGCAGGTGTACGTTAGACGCATGAACATCTGACCGTGGCGCCAGCATACAATGTCATCACATGTTTACTCCACAAGTTACACACATGCACAGTAGAAGCACAATGAAAGCAATGGAAAAGTACGATGTGGTTGCTGAAGCATCTTCACACTTCAAATTCAGACTTCAATGTGGTCGTCACGGGATGATATACCTGCAAGATACAAGTGATGAAGAAAGAAAGCAGAAGGTCGTGAGGTAGGCTATGGGACACCACAAACGGTTCACCTACATGTCTGTTCAGGGCTAGTGCACTCACACGGAGAATTGTCATAATCGAGCATTTCCCAAACTGAGAAGTGCAATGAAATCCACTTGCATGCACAGGAGCAATTTTGCAATTATTATGATGCGCAATTCGACACGATCTGCGATGCTGCGTGCGATGTGCCCTGCTGTCATGATAGTGACAGTCACCGCGGTATGTTTTGTCAACGTCGCCCGTGCACTCTTCTGTCAAGTCCAAAGTGCTCACATACTTGGCAATGTTTTTGCAGTGATTAACTTTTATCCTAGTTATGCAGTGCTGCCAAATAATTTTCGCCCAAAATCGGACACCCTTCACCGCCAAGGCTGGCCACATAGTGCGAATTTTTCTCCTCGGCAATTTTTTTTACAGAGAATTCAAAATATCGCCTAAAACACCATGAAAATTTGCTTCGTTGCCATGGTAACCACGGAGTTGTCATGAATTTTGTAATGATGAGTGTGGTCGCACACTGACTCTGTAGACTGTACAGACCGTCAGTGTAGATCTACATGTACATGCCACCCAGCCTGATCCAGGCATGTTACTTTGCACTTCCACAGCCAAGCGCTAGCCTTTTAGAAGCAAATGTACAGTGATTTGTGCCTTCAGTTGCGCTGAAAAGTGAAAGTACAGGACTTCTGCATAGGAAAGTAATGATCTCCGACATTTTGGCTGCTTTTCGGACGTTTCCCTTTTCGGACCGGTTTTCGGAAGAGCCTTCAAAAATCGGACACTGTCCGAAAAATCGGACGGTTTGGCAGCACTGGTTATGTCACGGGTAACTTTAATGAAGTACCCGCAGGCCGTGTCGATCCGCACATCGTCCACTCTCTCATGTACTTGGCCTGCTTTGTCTGTGTATCCATTTCATATGCGATCCACAAAATCGACTAGACAGTGGGTGCAATACGCTCTCTACCTGAAGACGTTCTTCTGGCGACATCTCGCCATGTACTTGGCCTGGCTTTGTCTGTGTATCCATTTCATGTTCGATCAACAAAATCTCAATGCACTACAGAGACTAGACAGTGGGTGCAATACGCTCTCTATCTGAAGACGTGAACCATTAAATTTGTTGGAAAAGTTAATAATTCAAGTTATACGTACAACTGAAACGTAATGAAGTACAGGAATAGAGAGAGTGACTACAATACGCTGTCGACCTGATATAGTGATAACGTGAGTACAAGACACTCTCCACCTGATAACGTGTTAGAAGGTAACATGTCTACAGTCCCACCGTACCCTTCCGACACGACTGTAGACCATTACATTTTTTTGAGAAGTTATACGTACACCTTAAACGTAATGAAGTACAGGAATAGAGAGAGTGACTACAATACGCTCTCGACCTGATAACGTGAGTACAAGACACTCTCCACCTGATAACGTGTTAGTAGAAGGTAACAGGTCTACAGTCCCACCGTACCCTTCATCATTCCTCATTCACCATCGCGCGATACCCTGGCACACACTGGCAACATATCAATGGGGTGCCTTACCGTCGTCTAGAGGAGACGTCTTCGCAGCAATATTTTCCCTCCTGCGCATTCAGTCGCCGACGCGACAGCGTTCACGGGGCCGTTCCAGTTGCGGAAGACATTCGATTCATCGGGCCAATTCAGAAACAGGGCCGTGGACACACAGGGGGCAGAGGAGAGACATTGTTAGTGGACAAGAAATATGCAGTGGCAAGTGGCGAGTGCCGCATGGATGTCAAGTTGTCATGCACAATTCAGCTATTACTTACGGTCCAGCTAGTCCTGCCATTGCTCGCTCGTCCTGGTTCCTCCTCGTTCGTCTTCCTGCACGTACGTCTGCACTTCTCCTTCCCCACCGTTGGCTTTGCGGTACGGGGGTGCCAGAAGGAATTCCCACCATGTATCCATGTACATGAAGTCCCACCATGACTCTCCATGTACATGTCCACGGCCACGTCAGCAGTTTGTATAGTACCGGAAGGAGTTCCCACGATGTCTCCAAAGGCCTAGAGCGGACGTCTTTGCAGCAATTCTTTTCGCCCTGCGCATTCAGTTCGCCGACGATGTCTCCAAAGGCAAAGGCCTAGAGCCTAGTAGAGGGAACGTCTTTGCAGCAATTCTTTTCACCCTAGTACCCTGCACATTCACTCCGCCGACACGACAGCGTTTACGGGGCCGTTCCAGGTGCAAAAGGTCCACGTCAGCAGTTCTCAACTATTTCGCGTACGGGATAGTCGCCGCGACAGCGTTTAAGGGGTCGTTCCAGGTGCAAAAGGTATCCATCAATGGCACTTTGCAGTATGGGGTACGGAAAAGGGGCCTCCTAGCTCGTTCGACTTCTGCAGTTCTCCTTCCCGTCAGGGGTACCGAAAGGGGCCTCCTCGCAGTTGTCCTTGCCGTCAGGTCCACGTCATGCAGTTCTCAACTATTTCGCGTACGGGATAGTCGTCTTTGTCGTACGCGACATCGGCGTTTACCGAGTGGCATTGGCACAAAGCAGACCGTTGACGGGGTCACGTGTCAAAAAAGTATCAACAACGTGTCGACTAAGTGTCGACCACGTGTATAGCGGTACACTCAGCGGTACACTAATTCTCGTGCCATTCTCGTGTCACAAAACTGGAACATCGAGTACCAGTATGGAAAGGCTTCAGACAGGAAGCCTTCCCAATATGACCCTCGTAGTCGGGTTATACCGTACCCTCATATAAATCCCTCCTGCTATCGCAGTCAGGATTTATATTCAGCCGGTATAACCCTCTGACTCGGGTTATATCCTCTACTTATACCCAGCTCATATTAACCCCCACTAATTCCTGCGATCTATAACTGGTGAATATATCTCCTTATCGCCTTCTTAGTATTTGACCCCACTAATTTCCCTGATACCTAAGCGGTCAAATATATCGCGTATTTGACTGCTTAGTCAAATACGCGATATATTTGACTACTTATATTTGACTCCTTAGAACTTCTTGGACTTAGAAATTTTCTCTCCAACTTAGAAAAAGAAATTTTTGAAGAAAGCAGAAATACACAAGATGGGATTAGAACCCACAACCTTGTGAATCTCAGTCACTCTTCCTTACCACCCAGCCACTGTGCTACCGATGCTGAACCTAGTTTAAACAATGATCTTGACTTTCAATGCAGTACAATGCGGTATAGGCTATAGTATAATACTAGAATTACAAGGATATGTCGTATATGAAGAGAAACTATTGCGTGGAGAACACGATAAATAGATTATAGACCGGTTAGGAGGTCAATACAGGATATATAGACCTCGTAAAAGACCTCGGGGGACCTCGGTCTTTTACTCGGTCTATATATCCTGTATTGACCTCCTAACCGGTCTATAATCTATACATATTCACCACTTTAACTTGGGGTATATACTTTGCTTTATTACCCACTTAGAGGTTGTAACTTTTCAACTTTCAAGGGACTTAGAAATTTTCTCTCCAATTGAAAAAGAAAAAAATTGAAGAGAAGAAAGAAGTTTCAGCAGGAATCGAACCTGCAACCATAAGATTCCCAAGCACCTATCTTGACCACCCAGCCACCAGGGTGTTGATGCAGATGTTGGTTGAAAGAAAGGTCTTAGGTCTGGAACACGCAATACTACCTACACATAATAGTATACTATTGTATACTGGGATACTAAAATAGCTATTTCGGACCAGTATTTCAGGCCAAAAACGAAATAGGTTCGTTGTTCTGGAAATGCGGAGGGGTACCTAGCATAAGTAGGATATGACCCTCGTAGTCGGGTTATACCGTACCCTCATATAAATCCCTCCTGCTATCGCAGTCGGGATTTATATTCAGCCGGTATAACCCTCTGACTCGGGTTATATCCTCTACGTATACGTAGTAAATGTGTTGCATACAACTTTTATCTGCCTCATCACAGAACTCGTACTCATCACAGTCAAGGTTTACAGTCAAGGTTTACAGTCAATGTTCAAACAGTGCTGGCAAAAAAGGATGAGCATCGGATACCAATACTCCTTATGTGTACCATGTTTGTGAACTGTGTGTATCTACGCTGTGACCTTTCGATCTGTTTGTGATGCATACGCCGCATGATACGGCTCCATAGTACAAATTAGGTGCAGTGCATTACATCATTGATGTCCATTTGAGGCGCTGTCCCCTATAGTAAGTGTCGTAGTTCACTTGCCACAACTGTAGATGTATGTGTGTGTGCACGTATGTACGTACACACGTGTGCGCATCGATACACAAACAGTCGCACGCCTGACCTGCCAAATCCAGCCACAACCAACGGTACAATAGTGGTCTCGGTGCCACCAGCCACCATAACGTCAGCAGTGCCGTGACGAATCTTTTCCACTGCCTCACCAATACTGTGAATACCAGTCGCACATGCTGTAGACAACGCAAGGTTGGGTCCCTAGCAGCCATCGTTGTGGCCACACATATACAAACACACACATGTATCCATGCATGCATGCACACACACACACATACACACACACACACATACACACACACACACACACACATGCACACACACATACACACACATGCACACACACACACACATACACACACAACATACACATACACACACAACATACACACACACATATACACACACACACACACACGAACGCACCACACAGCACTGTCTATACATGCCTGCCCTACACAACACTGTCTAAATTGCAATGTTCTGGTAAAGAGCGCTCCTTCCCTCGTCTCTATCATCCGTTTGTACCTGGCGCTTAGTTGATGCATAGCTGGTGACACTGGCATAGCTAAATGTACTTACTAACGCTTACCACATCGTCGGATTCGTTGTGCGTTGTGAGTGCTGCGGACGGATTGTTCGTGCATGTACTGTTTAACGGCTAATTTTAGCGCCAGTGATATTTTAGCGATTCTAGCGAATGTAAAATAGAAGAAAACACAAGGGAACGAGTTATGAAGCAACTATCCACGACTGTAAAAAGATAATAAGAAGCCAGAAAGTGCGATAACAGGGCACAAAACTGACTTTCTGACTGTTTATTATCTTGTTACAGCCGTGGATAGCTGCTTCATAACTCGTTCCCTTGTATTTTCTTCTATTTTACATTTTTTTTTACTGGCTCAGTATCCGAGCTAGATTTTAGGGAAAGGAGTATTTTCGCTAAATATTTGCAGCGCAAATCGAAATTGTGCATGTACAGTACAGTACGGGTCATCTTCTTTTTCGAACTCTGAAACTTGGGTCGCTAAAATATTTCATCGCAAATTGGTCCTGATTCAGAATATGCAGATTCAACTCAGATGGAGAGCCAAGTATCCTGCTTATAACCGTTAGCGTTGGACAAAACGGATAACTTGTAAACTTTTGGTCCTCGCTTTTTTAATCCAGAATATGTTTAAAAATTGTTACCCGCTAAAATTAGCCGTTCTACAGTATGCAGTGCATGGCTATACAACGTGGTGCTTACTCGTAGTCCATGCTTGACACTAATCACCCCCGCTGGCATGTTCACAAGAATACGAGGTATAAAGAATGGACTGACACGCCTGTAGCCCTGCAACACAACCACCACCACCACCGCAAAGAAAAAAAGGAAACGAGAAAACACACAATTGCAATAGAACAGTATCTCATAACGCAGCAAACCTAGCAGTGCTTGTCGTGGAACATGATCCGACCTGGATCGACCATGAGCCGAAACATAAATAATTGATGTTATTTTTATGGAATTCACGTTCCGACACATGGCCATAGTCAATATCCAAGTTCTTTTCTCTACAAGAAGAATACACCCAGGACTAACTAATAAACAGCGGGAATGATAGTTATATACGCTGCCTGTTCTGAAGATGTCGCCTGCATCTACATGTAAGTCTTGATCTCATGGTCAATTTCCATGCTTGGCACAATGAAGGCAAATCCACTGTCAGCAATGAAGGCCAATGCACCGTCAGCGAGGCCACAGTCAGCAATGAAGGCCCATGCACATTCATTGAGTCCACTGAGGTATTCACATGCACACCTCGTACTGGTCATGGAGTTTTTGCTTACATCTTATGTGAACTTATAATTATTATAGAATACCAATTGAGACCACACGAAGAAGACAGAATGAGGTTTTTCTTGCAGCTCGAGTTTCGAGCTATGCTATCCTCAAGAAAATAATTCTAACATGATTAATTTGCCTGATGATCAATTCTCACATTGCAATGACACAACCAAGTCCTTCTTTGTCATGACTCAGAGTTTTGTCTGAAGAAACAACATTCATCAGACAGCCCTGTGTGTGTGTATAATGCTGACTCTGTCCACTGGACATAGAGCACTCTATGCAGACTGAGGACCTTAGACACCTGTCTGAGGATTACACAGCATGAAAGTCAAGCTGCAAGAAAATCACGTTCTGCCTTCTTCGTAAGGGAAGCCGTGCCCATTGCGTTATTGAACACTGTGTGAACAGAGGACTGACTCCACTGTGTGAACAGAGGACTGACTCTACTGTGCGAACAGAGGACTGACTCTACTGTCTTGTCAGTTGTATTATTAAACACACTCACATACTTTGAAGTACAGTGCTGATCAGTGTACTCCGATTGCGCAAGTCTAGTTTACGCCCTGCCCCCAGCTCACATCCCAGTGCTTGCAGGTCCAGGGCTGCACAGTGCCCGACGTGGCATGGACTCGCTTGATGGCAATTCATTGAGCAGCACTGTACTTCAAAACACTCTGACTAAAAAGACAAGCACAACTCTTTGAAAATGGTACCCTACGTGGAGCGTAGCACACCCTGAGTGAGCACTGGATTGACTTACTCCTTGCTTCAAACTCTGCCCACTCTCCAAGATCTCCTGTAGGCCTGGCAAGCTACTCCCTATACACACACCCTGCCAACAGGCAAAAGAACAACACCGCCAAAAAGAGTGTTACATCGCTAGTACAAACAAACAAACAAACAAACAAACAAATACACAAAGACGTTCAAGGTATGCAGTCTGTGCAGTACAGACTAAGTGTGTTGCAGTACTGGGGTTGAAGGCTCTGAGCTAATAATAGTGTAGTGTTCATATAGCAACATGCACCACACTACAAATCCACAATGGAGCCAAATTTCCCTCAACGCGATGGTACCTGTGAGTGGAAAGCCGTACATTTATACACAAACACAAGGCAGAACAACAGACCAAAAATCTCTCAGAACAACAGAGACCAAAAATCTCTCAGAACAACAGAGACCAAAAATCTCGCAGAACAACAGAGACCAAAAATCTCTCAGAACAACAGAGACCAAAAATCTCTCAGTACAACAGAGACCAAAAATCTTTCTCGTTACTCCGAGTTTCGTGTTTCAAAAACACTCATCAGACGAATACACAAATGTTTTTTTTCCCTCTGAACAGGATCTCAACACACAGAGTCACAAAGACACACCCAAGGAGTCATGCACAAACAAACATGCACGCACACACGCACACACACACACACCTCAGACCTCAGACATGCCCATCGCGGAAGCGATGATAGCGAACAGCTATGTTAGACATAGCAACTTGTGCTGGGATTACACCATTCAACAGCTTGCAAGGCTGATGAATTGACCGCCACTAATTTTTAGCCTGGTATCCACCACACAGCTGATTGAAGTGGCTTTTTCTGGCCAGTGAATCCCGATTTTTCATGTTTCATTTTTCACTCATTTTTACACACACGCCACACCACATACTCCGGCATACACTGGCTGTTGGTAACCACCCAAGAAAATGAAAGAAGAGCTAGGAAAATGAGAAATAGAAGAAAGACGTGTGCGGCCATAGTCGTCGGGAATTGAACCCGCAACCTCTCGATCCACACACACGCATGCTGACACATGCAACCACACGTACACATGCTGACACGTGCTATCACACGTACACATACGTGCACCACCAGAAGTAGTAGGCATCACTCACACGCGTGGAGGATGAATCCACTCAGCAGACAGCAAACAGTTGTACGAGGTTATACGGTATTAGCCATCATGCGTTGAGACTAGTGTCACGTACCGTTCTGGAACAGTCCTCATCGGACGTTGGCTTCCACTTGGCCATGGACAGGGCCTCTGTCGCTGCTGATAAGGCAAACCGAGTTGCCAAAGACTCCTGGGTTTAAAACAAAGAAATATGTATGTTCACTGGTTTGAGGAAAAGACGCAAAAATTTATGTCAGCACACTGTGTATGTATGCATATCTCATGCATATCCCATAACCATTCTGGTCGTAGGGGCTGTCGAGAATATGTAGCACGAATCCGCGTTACGCTCGTTATTATGTCAATATTTGTTCATGTGTACATCATGTGTACATCATGTGTACGTCATGTGTACGTTATGCTGACGTCTTGCTGCACACATCGCATGAACAGTTTTGCAGCGCTCAGGCCAGGGCATGCGCAGCGAGCCAGTGGCTTCTTTTCTGCTACCTTTCTCCATTGGCCCAAGTCCACGAAGCTCCCCATCTTCGAACAGAACCGTGTCAACGCCATCCAGCCGTTCCAGACGTTCTCTACCATTACGTCCCGACAAAGCGGAATCCAGCCGACCTACCGTCCCATGGTTTGAGCGCCGCAGCCCTATTGAAATGCAGCACCTCGTGGAACGGTCCCAGCCTGCCGATTGAAGGCACCACTGCAGCAACTGTCACTGTTGCGCCGGCGGAGGGTCCTCCGGAAGTCACCTCAAAGGGGTCGGGGGGGGGGGGGGGGGCAGCCGTTTGGTCAGGGTTTGCAGACAAATAAAAAAGCTGATGCATTTCCATATGGCATTCTTGTGAAAGACCTCTCGTCGTTCGACTCTTTAGTGCGCGTGTGTGCAACTTGCTTTCATTTCCTCTGTCGGCTGCGGAAGAAACCAACTCCATCTGGACCTGTCACGCCTAGAGAAATCGAAGCAGCAGAGCATGTATGGATCAGCCACAGCCAGTCTGCACACTATGCAGATGTGATCACCGCTCTGTCCAGTGGGAAGCAGCATCCGCTGGCAACTAAGCTGAACTTAGTGCTCGACAACGGAGCACTGAGGTGCCGAGGTAGCCTGGAGAATGCTGACCTCTGCTTCAAATCGAAGTTTCCCGTGCTAATCTCCAAGGAAGACGCCATTGCCGACCTCATCATACGTGATTGCCACCTCAAGGTCATGCATGGCGGCGTAACACACACTCTATCCCATGTCCGATATCAATTTCGGATCCCGAAAGGCAGATCAGCTGTAAAGGCTCTAGTGAGTCGCTGTCAGACTTGCATTCAGTACAAAGGCGCTCCATACAAGACGCCTCAGATGAGTCCGCTACCTGCTACCAGAGCAACCCAAGCGCGACCGTTCTCCCACATCGGCCTGGACTACTTTGGCCCCATCCTCGTCCATACGCAGTCGGAAACCGTCAAGGCATGGGTCTGCCTGATCACGTGCATGGTGACCAGAGCTGTTCATTTGGAGCCAGTCCACGACATGACAGCTGCCGAGTTTCAGCTCGCACTGAGACGTTTCGTCGCCCGCCGTGGCACGCCGGAGTTAGTTGTGTCCAACAACGCTCCTTAATTCAAGCTAGCCAAGTCAACTCTAGACATTGCCTGAAGTAACGTTGTGGTGGATACCAGTGTTGCGTCGTACATTAGCCACCATCGAATCCAGTGGCACTTTCATCGTTGCCAACTCTCCGCAGATGGGTGGAATGTACGAAAGGCTTGTGGGTATCGTCAAACACTCTATGCACAAGATCATTGGGAGACTGTCCCGAAGAAACTTGTTGAACATTCAAGGGTTCAATTGAAAGAAAAAATAATGTTTAGCCGATAACCCGATCGTTATGGTATCAGCTAAGCCACTAAGGAAAAAATGTAATTGTTTCAGCACTAGGAGACACCTCCTCACAACCAGTCAACTCGCCACTCTCCTGCCAGAGGTTGAGTCTGTCGTCAATTCTCGGCCACTTGTCTTACTCTATGTCGATGAGGAACAATACAGAGTACTAACGCCTGCTGGTCATTTCATCAGCCTGTCTACCACACAGGGATTCTTCACGGCCAGCAACGACCCAATCGACCCGGATTACCAGCCCATCAATTCCTCCCAGGGGCGGATCCAGGATTTGTCCAAGGGGGGTTCAATTTTTCCCACCCTACCCACAATGACGAAATGATGACTACGCCGCCCCAGTATGGGAGTCCTCCCTCTCTGCTGCACAGCGGCTCACCCTTGAACGGCTGCAAGCCAGAGTAGCCCGCACAGTCATGCGGCTTGAGAGATGCTCTTGCCCATCAGACGAGCCCAAGTCATCATTGTTTAAACAGCTGGGGTGGCCAAGTCTATCCTGGCGCAGGAAGATCGCCTGCCTTATGGAATTCTTCCATCTGGTCACCACCCAACCAGAACTTTTTGAAGCAGCGGGATACTGCCCCACGCGTAGTCGCCGCCGCCAACTCGCATTCACTCTGCCACGGGTTGGGAAACACGCCGGGAGGTCATTTCTCTTCCGCACCGCTACTGTCTGGAATGACTTGCCCGCAGACCTGAGAGCCACAGCCTCGCAGTCCCTGTTTCACAGTCACATTTGCACGCACTTCTCTGACACCAAACACAATGCCACTCCTCACTGACATGCCTCTGTCCTCCTTCTTTGAGCGTTGCGCTTACTCTTATTTTGTGTTTCTGTTTCGGTATATTTCGTATTTCAAGGCATACCCCGAGGCTATAGGTATTATTGAGTAAAGGACCATTCTGGAACATTCAGCATAATTGTATTTCTCTAGCTAGGCTGTTCATTACGAATCATTAGCCCTCCACTGTCTGCTATCTCAACCCTACAGCCTCCCATTATAATGGAACTCCCTTCAATTTAGACTACGTCTTTGGGAAATCCTCAAATAATAATAATAATAATAATGACATACACATGTATAACAAGTTCACACGTTCGCGTTATACATGTAGGCACAAACATGTAACTTCAGTACCCCTATACCCCTATTTTCAACACTCTGCAGCTAAAACATTATTGAAGACACGCAGCACAAGGAAGAAAATTTCAATTTCTTTGCCGCAGAATTGGTACTTTCTCCAGCAGCTCGTCTGTATTAATTGTCCGTAATATTGTACTCCGAGCCACCCGATGTTGACTCCACTGTACAGTAGGTTCCATAAGGCAGGCTTCCTGCATCTTTTGTGTCTCAGTCTTAATTGTCCCCAGTAAGAGTTCGGAGAAATTTTGATTATTGGATGATGGGACGTTGAACTTGAAGGTGATTTTCAAGTTTCGCTCTTTGTTTTACCTTCGCCACTAGTGGCTACACATTTCTTTGGAGTGTCACCAAAATTCAATGGCAGCTGGTCTTCAGCCTGCCTCTTTTAGACGCTTGGACAAACTCTAAGACAGTTCAAAAAGCACGAGCCGCGACGACAATACAGCACTGCACAGCCACTATTCAGAAACTAGTGTTTGAAACTTACTTTCGAAGTTGCCGCAGCAGCTCAACAAATGCATGCACCTCTTTCTCCGAAGCGAACACGTAGCTGTAGCTGTACATTCAGTGTGGATCTACATGTACATGTACATGGCTGTACTTTACTTTTCTACAAAACTGTACAAGACAACAATGTACACCGGCATGTAGATCTACCAAGGACATAGCTAGCGGACCGCTCTGGCCTGGGCCGCTGGGCCATAGCATCGGGCGCGCACATCGCATGCATGAGCATGGGTCACACCCGAACTATGGTCGGAAAAATCAGGGGGGTTCGTTCGAACCCCCCGAACTCCCCCTGGATCCGCCCCTGCCTCCGCCAACAGCCTCTTGGACCTTTGGAAGAAGGGCCAACAACATCTCGATCAGTTCTGGCTCGCGTAGAGAAACAAATAACTACTCAGCCTGCGAGAATCCCACTCGTCGTCCTTCAGGCAGTCAAAGACTCGCCCATCAACGTTTCCGGAGCCTGCTGATGTCATCTTGATCAAGATTGAATTGCCTCAAGGCCACTGGCGCCTTGGACGAATCCAAGAAGTCCACACCAGCAGCAATGGCAACATCCACTCAGCCACCATCGTCACATTGTGATACTGCTTGGTGTGGCCTGTCAAAACGGCTTCTTCAAAAGCTAGAAGTACATCAGCGCTTACTCTTAAAAATAATTTCGCAAAGACCCAACATTCTCATCTGAATCTCTCTATACTCTTGCTTCTTCATCCCCCCTTGTTGACCGGCACCAGCAACATCTTTGCAGCCTTGCCCATAGAATCCGTCTCGCGCAGGTTCCACGGCATATTCATGCATATAATTGGTTTTCTAACAATGGCTCTACTCGTGATGCGCTAACCCTACCACGTGTCCGATCCTCCCTGTACTCGAAGTCTCCTTTCTTCTCCGCATACTCCGTAGGGTCTGCTCTGCCTCTAAGCCTTAAATCATGCACTGATATCAAGGAATTTAAACGTGTTATCTCTGGCTAACTGTGCCTGCCTCTACTTATCGTCATCTGTACTCTCCTTTAAAAAAGTTAACCTCGGGTTATTTTCGACTCTTGATTCCTTCATGCCTTCTACTTTTTTTACTGTTTCGGATAGTTGCGGTGTTGGCTACCACCTCTCATTTCACATTCATTTTTCATTGGCAGTCGTTTCACGCCGAGCCAGGAAATGTTGAATTGATACAAATGCCGTTAAGTACCGTTGATCCGCCAACGCTCTAATTCCTGCCCCCTGTCGATTTTCTGCCTGTGAAGCGACTTCGGCGTATACAACGAAATACGATGTTGAACTGACGCATGTACTGCTGTACGCAATATGTGCGAGTGCAGGATGAAGATGTGCACAATCCAGCATTCCAGGTCTGATCTTCTGCTTTGTTGTACATCGTACTGCACTTGAACGACTTGATCTAATTCCCGCCCCCTGCCGAAAAACCAGCTGGGAAGCGACACGGCGTGGGAGGGGGCGGATCAACGGTACTTTACGGTACAAATACTTTGGACAAACGTACTGTCAAGCGGCCAGTGAGTCTACTGTGTCCACTTGAGATCAGCAGTAACATGAGTACAGAATCCTCAGCTGCCAGCAGCAGCACACTACCCCGCTCATTATCATCATCATGAATACACTGTGCATACTCACAGATCTATCAAGTCTGCTACTCTCCTGCCACTGTCCATCACCAGACCCTCTGGGTACACGAGCAGCTACAGACGGCATACCGGTACACGAGGTGTGCAGAAAGACAGTAGAGACAAGACACAGTGACACTCTGCATGTTCGAAACGTGATCAAGGCATAGTTGCTGCCACTGTGCCATCCACATTCACAGTATGTGTACAGGCATGCACAGTCATGCACAGTCATGCACAGACGTGGCGGCCAAAAAGAAATCCGACCCGTTAGTCAAAACTAGCGACGCATTTCCATTTCAATTACATCATACACGTACCAAAAACTGATCCGAGGGACGCAGGGGCCCGCACAAGCCATTGCGCTGCTTTCGGCACGTGGGTTGGATTTCTTTGGCCACAAATGTACATTATAACAAAAGCGGGGCAAGATGAGATGAGCTGTCAGAGTCCAACATATTGCACCCTGCATGCGATCTGCAGTGCAGGCAGCGTGATCGCAAAGAGGGAAAGTCGCGGCACTCTGTGACTGGTTTGTGGGCACCAGAGCTGGTATCTGAAAAGAGGCAAGCTGTGACCGGTGTGTGAGTGAGTTTGACTGTATGACTGACTTTGAGGACCGCGACTGCTAAGCGGGACGTGACTACTATGTTGGACGTGACTGCTATGTGGGACGTGACTGCTATGTGGGACGTGACTGCCATGCGGGACGAGACTGCTAAGCGGGACGTGACTGCTATGTTGGACATGACTGCTATGTGGGACGTGACTGCTATGTGGGACGTGACTGCTATGTGGGACGAGACTGCTATGTGGGACGAGACTGCTATGTGGGACGAGACTGCCATGTGGGACGTGCCTGCTATGTGGGAAGTGACTGCAATGTGGGACGTGACTGCTATGTGGGAAGTGACTGCTATGTGGGACGAGACTGCTGTCAGAGTCCAATAGATATCCTCTGACACCTGAAATTGCCTGCTGGTGACCTTGTGTAGGTCAAGTCCAGCAGCTCGTGTATAAGAACTAATGGAGTAGTATCAACAATCATGCACAAGATACCGCAAAAGAAAACAGTGAGTGAAGAGAGATCATTGACGTACCAACTTTAGACGGTATCTCAGCAAATTCTAGCAGAACAGAACCAACACACACACACACACGCACGCACACAAACAAACAAACATGCACCCAAGCACGCACGTACGCACAAACACAGAAAACAAAAGGCAGGGAAATTGGACAGAATGTCAACGGCATCATATTAACGTCTCTATTGCCTCCGATCTTGATAATATACTGCATCTCTGTAGCAGGCTGCAGTGCAAACCATATCCGTAGACACTACAAGATGACTGATCGGTGGGAAAGATCCAAACATGTACAAACACTGCACATATGTATGTTCATCTCATTATCATGAGCAAGTACACGCATCCGGTGTGTGTATACACATGCATGCGTCGCACTCACAAGCCTGAACACACACACACACGCACACACACACACACACACACACACACCACATCTATATCAATCAAGAGTACACAACCCTCCCACAAGAGTGTGCAACCGCCGCATGCAGTGCTGTCCCGAGAGAGTGTCAAGTTCACGTCCTATTTTATGATGCGGTGCTTCTTGCAGGAGCGGCATGCGACATTTGTCCTGGGTGTCAACGCATCACACGTTTTTTTTCCTTGCACCAATTCGTAACCGCTACAGAATGAAATGCGGATTTGCCCACCACAGGTCTAGGATACGTCTCATAACACGTGTACAGTCAACTTCGCGTACAACCACACTCGACGGGGCATCAGAAAAGTGTCGTTATTCGCGAAGTGTCGTTATACCCAAAGTCTCATGTATTACAGTTGGATGGGACTTTGCTCTGGGCATGGAAATTCTGTCGATATTCGCGAATTGTCATTATATCCGCAGTCGTTATTAGTGAACCCCGCCACGTATTGCATCATAAAAGTGGCGTCAACTTGAAATTCCGTCGAGACAGCAGTGACAGTGGAGTTGCACACTCTTGGAGGGTTATGCACTCTTGCTATTACATGTACATTTCTGCTCAATGAAATCCAGTCGCGTCACTCAAGTTTGCGCCTCGAATCATTTTGCAGCCCAGTGTTGGCAGGTCGAGGGCTGCGCAACGCCTGGAGTGTACATGAGTGACACAACTGGATTTCATTGAGCAGCACTGTAAAACAGACAATAATACAGTAATCACATACATGTCCACGTACACATACTTTTGAAGTACACGTAAACGTACACACACAGCCATTGCTCTTACCATCACCATATAGCTGCCCAATACCGCTCTCTCCCGCCAAGAGTCGACTCCACGAGGTTTCCACGCCAACTCCAAGTGGTGTGACGGCACCTTATCACAATGAACGGGCAGTCACAAGGCAAGAAACCGTTACAAGTTGCCATGGGTACAATGAGGGGATAATATTCAGTAGATGAGAATATTTCCATGATGCTATCTGCTAGAATGTTGTTACTGGAGCTGACCGACAGTAAGTAGAGTTGAGCAATCAAATCTCAACAGAGCTGAATGAGAACAGCAACAGCAGCTACTGAGCAAAACTAACCCAAGCACTACAGTATCCTGTCTGTGCAGCTAGATCAAGATGAGAACTGTACAGGGTATCAAGATAGTGCAATGGTGTGAAGAAGACTAGAGCATGCAATACGCCTACAAGTACAGTACTGCTCGATGAAATCCAGTCGCGTCACTCAAGTATGCGCCGGGCATTGCGCAGCCCTAGACCTGCAAACACTGGGCTGCGACATGGTGCAAGGCGCAAACTTGAGTGACACGACTGGATTTCATCGAGCAGCACTGTACAAGGTACAGTTTCAAGATCCTGCAATGGTGTGAATACGATACCATGCAATATGCCTTGTGAAGGATTCAACACAAAGTCACGAGAATGAAGGGGTCAGGTTTTTAAAGTGTGAATTTAATACTACTTCATGTACTTCATGTAACAGCTACGCTGCTCGCTACACTGGATAGATACCCTCCGCACCACTGCTGACTACACTGGATAGATGCCCTCCGCACTACCCACACCAACATCCGTCAATTGTGGTATGCCGATGATTCAAGTGGTGCAGGCAAGCTAGCTACAGGCCCGTCGACGCTGGTGGGATGATGTGGACGAGACTGGGCGACCCTACGGTTACCATGTCAACGCCTCGAAGACTCTCCTCCTCGTCAAGCCGGAGCTACTCAACCTGGCCCACAGTGTCTTTGCAGGAACTAGCATTGAAGTGGTCACGGATGGAGCACGCTGCCTGGGTGCCGCTAAAGGGACACCTGATTTCACCGCTGGCTATACAGCTGGGAAAGTTCGAGACTGGTAGCAGGAGCTTATGCGACTGTCCGAGATTGCCACTACCGAACCTCATGCGGCATATGCTACCCTCACACACGGGCTGCGTGGTCGATGGACGTATCTCCTCCGTCCACTGGAGTTCTCAGCTGAACAGCTGCAGCGCCTGGATGACACGGTCACGGAGCACTTCCTTCCGGCTCTGACAGGGAAACGCACGTTCACGGCGGATGACCTCTCTCTTCTGCGGCTACCTTGTCGGCTCGGTGGGATCGGTCTGCCATGCTTTAAAGAAATCGCTACCTCCCAACTGCAGGCTTCCCCAAGTCATCATGTGCAGCCAGGTTGACGAGATCATCCACCAGCACGATAGAGAGTGGCAACATCATTCCTGCGGATCTGTGGCTCAGGTAGCCCGACGTGAGAGTGTCTGCTGCCAAGTCTTCCAAGAAAGCTAGTGCTGCCTCTTTTGCTGCTCTCCGAGAAGCTGTGGACCGCCCCTTGGCCCGTCGTATGGATGAGCTGTCCCGCAAAGGCCCCTCTTCCTGGCTCACTGCTCTTCCTCTCAAAGAACATGGTTTCCACCTCTCGAAGCAGGAGTTCAGGGACGGCCTTGCATTGCAGTATGACTGGCCTCTCCCCGATGTCCCCACGAAGTGTGCCTGTGAAGTTCTGTTCTCCACTGCTCATGCCATGTGTTGCCCCCGGGGTGGCTTCCCTACAATCCGCCATAACGAAGTCCGCGACGTGGTAGAGGAGCTACTCACGGAGGTCTGCCGCACAGTGGCAATCGAGCCCCAGCTAGCCCCACTCTCCGGAGAGGTGTTCACTGCTGCATCGGCAAACACCGCCGAGGATGCTTCACGCCGATGTCCGTGCCCCTGGCTTCTGGACCCGAGCCCAGGATACTTTCTTTGACGTTCGCGTCTTCCATCCTGATGCGGCGTCGTACTCGGCCCAATCACTGGATGCCCTACTGCTTCAGCACGAGCGCCAGAAGAAGCTGCCTTATGGGGAACGAATCCTCAACGTGGACCGTGGCACATTCAGCCCGCTGGTGTTGTCAACTTCTGGTGTTGCCTCCGCTGAATGCGAAAGGTTCTTGAAGCGCCTCTGTGGCTTGCTTGCCAGGGCTGATTCCAGCATGCCCTATGCACACCATGTTGCATATGTGCGCCGCAGGCTGTCTTTCGCGCTGCTGCGGTCCGCTGTCATGTGTATTTGTGGGTCTCGGTCTGCATACCATCGTCCAGCTAACGAGCACAGGGAGCTGGCGGTGGTTGAAAGCCGGATCTAAACCAGTTGTGTTTTAGTGTAAAACTCTCGCCACTCAGGAGACATATTTTCCACACCTGTGTGTTATTTTCTTCCTATCATACCCTGGTTTCTCATCATTGGGTTGCTTTTGCCCGTAAAAGAGGCTGTTTGATAGATGCCCTCAGCCTCTGGTGTTCATACACTGTACTACACACAGCCCATCTTGCCACAACCGCACTGACAACTACATGACATGCACAGTCTGTGCTGAATGAAATCCTACCTCACCAATACCGTCAAATCCCGTGTATATGCGCACCCGCGTATAAGCCCATGCTCGCGCATAAGCCCAGAGTCAGTTCGAACATCACAAAGCTTCGTCGTACAAGCCCATGGGCCTAGGTCATACCATGTACGTAGCACATGTAGTTTTTTTGTACATTTCAACACAATCATCGGTTGTTTTTGTTTGCACAGTGGTTTTCAGCAGTGTACTTCTCACTTCCTTGGTACTTTTCAATAGCACAATGTTGGTGTCGGCGTACAAGCCCATGCCTGCGTATAAGCCCATGTTCTTGTATAAGCCCACCGAAATAGCCTTGTGAAACAGATAAGCTCATGGGCGCACCCGCGGGATTCCACGGTAAGCTATCACCATGCATCAGTGCAGCACTTGGTGTTCACAGGTCTGGGGCTGTGCCTGAGCCACACCCAGCAAAAGCTGACTCATGCGATTGGAATACATTGAACAGCAGCGCTATAGAAATACTACAGTAGCATTGGAATAGGAACATGATCTATCAACAGACTCTTTCAAGCTAGTAAGGGATTGATTGTATGTGACAATTGTGAAACCCCAGCACCGGTGATCTGCATCTGGGATCTCAGACGCTTATGCAAACAAACTGAAAACTCCCTGTGCGCGTACATAAAAGGGGCTGTCCCAGCCAGTCGGAGTCCAGGTCGAGGCATCTGTGATCCCGCATGATTGAGTCAGCCCATTTGGCGCAACGAGTTTTCCGGTTTTATTGGTATACATGCGGGAGATCCTGGATGCAGGCTGAACTGATTAGCAGCCTGCCTATCTGTCAGCTCGGGCTGAAATGATTTTTATGTGCTCCCTGCCCATCAGTCAGCCTGCGTTGGAGTTGCACAAACAAAAAACCAAAGTTCTCACCACTGTAAACACTACACAGTATTTAGTAATTTACCGTACTTTGAGAGTGATGGCGTTCTCATGGATGCAGTCAAAATTTAGTCTGAATAAGTCTCACACGAACCGTGAATTTTTGCAGCACTTTGTGTGGAGTTATGATAGATGCAGCACTGAATGTGCTGTGGCTTGTTGAAATCAAATACACTCGGACGTCTCTTATCCGGGCACGTTGGGACCGGGCACTGCCCGTATCTCAGATTTGCCCGTATCTCAGGATAACTCCTCTACCATGTATCATATCATTTTTTTGAAGAAGTTTACTGGACACGTACTGCACATGTTCAGGTTACAGAGAGAATCCATTGATAAAAAGGTGTGGATTTCACAGGTTGGCAGTGACAAATAAGCACTTGCGCATACGAAAAAACTTCAAACCAACCAAATTCAAAGCATTTTTGCCATAGGAACTCAAGCTGAAGGTAGAGAGACGTGCCCGTATCTGAGGCGTCCGGATAAGAGACGTTTGAGTGTACATGTAATGTCATTATGCAACATTGTTTTCTTCTCGTACCAAGACTCAAGAGTAACAAAATTGCCTACTGTAGAGTTGAGTCTACCTTCTTGTACAAGTAGCATAATATGCCTAGTTTTGCATGAGTACTCTTGCTACATGTACCGTACTGGCAATATATCTTGCCGCAGTGAGGCCATGAAGCGTTACATTGGCACATGTTTGCCGCACGCAGGGCGTTACATGCAAAGTCGCACAGGAGCCGTTACACAGGTTTCTTTTGCCGCAGTCCTTTTTTTTGCCACGCGCGGTACACGTGCTTTCACAGTTTTCAGCCTTTGCAGTGCAAACTGCAATGAAAAGATCGCCGCACCCCGCCTGACGCGCGTTACGAACGCAACGAAAATTTGTCGCACTAGCCTGGTCGCGCGTTACGCCGCACCCCCCTGCGTTACGCGTTACGCGGCAACATATATTGCCAGTACGGTATTACTTTACTTTCAAGTTGAAATTCAACTGAGACAAGACCTGGGTATAAACTCCCCTGCGTGTACTACTAATAGGCACCAGGTGTTTTGTGTATGCATTGTGGAAATATTACCTGCGCCAGTCACAACAACTCGTCTTCTCGTCCCTTGGGTTGACGTGCTGGACACATTGCGACAACATGTCACTGAGAGCACGGGACTAAAGCAACGAACAGCACTCATGGCAGGCATAGCGTCAACACGCAAACTCAATAAATTGGAAAGGAAGACGTAGAACTGTGCATTTACATTGTGGAACTGGAAAGAACAAACTACACAACTGTTGTGTATTGTAAAAGTTGTAAACAAAATATTTCCTGTGTGCTTCTGTTTGCAATCAATGAACAGATTTTCAAACTGACGTTTCTTTGGCCGCACGTGGCGCGGCGGCCAAAGCGGCGCCGTGCACTCTACTCTCCCGACATAATCTTTTTGAAGTGGCTCCAGCATGTTTCCTATTTCAAACCAAGGCTCAATCAAATCTGTACTTTTTGTTGCTCGACCTTGACCTGATTTTGTTGACATTGGCTGTCATTTCCAAAAGCAGAATGACCTTTGTTGGTACACATGCCATTGCAGAATAAACCCTTTACCTTCAACTAGCTACGATGGTCTCTACGAGCCAGACACCTGAAGCTGGATAAATATTTTGAAAATATTCACCAATAATTGTGGCTCAGTACTAGTACTGATCTTCTTGTCGCTTGCCTGAGCGTAAACAGTGTTGATGTTTGCACAATACTCCTGAAAGATAAATACGCGGAGTATTGAACGTGTGGCGATCATGGCTGATAAGTGTGATTACGATGTGGCAGTAATCGGAGCAGGAGTCAGTGGCGTTTCAGCACTGAAGTGTGTCCTTGAGGCTGGTCTCAGTGCTGTGTGCTTTGAGAAGACAGAGCATGTCGGTGGTTTGTGGCATTTTACTGAGGACGGCTATGGTGTAATGAGATTCACACATATGTAAGAGAAACATTTTGCGGTACAATAATTATTTTAACATCGGGGGCCAATGAAATCCCGCCTCCCAAGGCCCAAGAATACATTATGTAGTATGGGATGTTGCCAGGTGTCCAGTTCCGGCCCAAGAACTGGCGTGCACCCCCCCCCCCCCCCCCCCCCCACACACACACTCACATACTCCATATTCAATGCCCGAAGTGTGCGCTTTGACCCCAGGTTTGGATGCTTCATGTGACCGATGATCTATGCAACATGTGCATATGTGGCCGCGATTGTGGCTTTGACCTGCTGACCCCAAACGTCACAAAGACCAGCGATGCAAGTTTGCATACATTGGCCCTGCCCCAAGGACGACTGGAACAGACAGCTTCGGAGCAAACAACACAAAATCATTGTTTCACACTTCAGTTTCCCGTATCCGATCTACATGGGAAAGAGGGAGCACATACACGTGCTGGGTTTTGTTTGCTTTGCAGACTTTGTTTGTAGATACCGCTGTCAGTCTGGTTGACTCTCACTGGAACTGTGCAATTATTTGTAATGTTATGCCACCGCTCAAAAAGTACCGTATTTCCCCGATTGTAAGGCGCACTCGATTATAAGTCGCACCCCCACTTTGAGGTTTGAACCACATTGTTAATGTTTCAATACATGCCTATAAGTAGGATGTCACTCTCGATTGTAAGTAGCATCCCCTTCTTTGCCCTTGAATCTTAGGTGCCTTGACTTATATTCAGCAAATACGGTATCCTATTCTTGTGAAGCGCTACCAGCAGCATTGCCGGGGATTCCCCCGGGGATCCCTGTTAGCATGCTATACTAGATGTACAGTACAATGTAAACCAGGGTTTCACTAACCAGGGATGCAACATCCAGAGCAGGCAAACAAATTAAAAAAAACTTCACCTCACAGTTCACGTGAGACTCGGTGAGACCGATTTTTCCGCATTCGTAGGAACGCCCCTGCCCCAGATCAGGTAATGTTGCCGGTAAAGCTCAGATATTGACCTGGCCTATTTCTGTTTTCATGTCTTGACTCTTGGCCATGTTCTCTGTTGTCAGCAATGTATCCAAGTACAACTATTGCTTCTCTGACTATCCATTCGCGGATGACGTTGTGGACCACCCGCACAATGCTGACATGCAGAAATACATCGAGGGCTACGTGGAGCACTTTGATCTCATGAAGCACATCAACTTCGGCACCACCGTCGTGCACATGGAACAGCAGACGGACAACGGTGGAGTCTGGACTATTCGTACCCAGAGCGCCAACAAGGCAGAAAGGACGGTCGTTGTTAAGAATGTAGCCGTAGCAACTGGCCACCATGCACTACCAATAATGCCATCGTGAGTGTTAATAGAATGATAGTGTATCTGTAACCATGGTGACCATGTGCGGCTGACTCACTGGATTTAACACTGTAACGTAGTGCACCGTAGACTCCTGCCACACACAGCATCACTGCATCTCTGCTCCATGTGGATGATCATTGCTATGTAGCAGGGAGTAGTAAAATGCTGGTATTTTCCTACTCCCTGCTGTGTACATGTACTTTGTAGTTGAAACAGCTGCTTAGTTGTGTCTGTCCGTGCACACACACACACACACACACACACACACGCGCGCACACACACACACACACACACACACACACACACACACTGTTCTGCAGGTTTCCAGGCCAGGAAACATTCAAAGGTGAACTGCTGCATAGCGTTGCCTACAAGGACGCCATTACTAACGGAATCGTCGACAAGAAGCCGCTGGTCATCGGTGTTGGTAACAGCGGAATGGACGTTGCCGTTGATCTGTTTGCACGCGGTAACTGCAAGCCAGTAAGTGTATTCCTATCGACCTGTTTCCAGGTATGAGAGAGAGAGTGATCGCATCCAGTGAAATCCCATACCCATCGGGTATGCACGCATGTGTGGGTGTGGGTGTGTGCGTGTGTGTGGGTGTGCGTGTGTGTGGGTGTGTGTGTGCACGTGTGTGCGTCTGTGCATGGTTGTTTTAACTGTATGTGTGTGTGTTTCCTTTGTCTCTGGGTACATATTCCTAGACCCTGCTGAGCACCAGATCCGGTGCATGGGTGATCAACAATCACGTGTTCAACTACGCCACCGACCTGTACGCATGTCGATTGTTTCTATGGTTGCCATGGCGCATCGCCACCGTGATTGTGGAGCTGGTGACCAGACTGACGAATGGCAATCCATTTGATTTTGGCCTGAACCCGAGCATGCAGATGCTGCAGACCCAGCCCTCGGTCAGCGGGGCTCTCTATTTCCATCTCCGGCGTCAGAATGTCGTCGTCAAGCCAAATGTGAACAGGTAAGACCAGTGCGGTGTGTGTGTGCATGCTATTGCGCAACACTGCAGACTTGTACCACTTCTGGTGGTACAATGTACAGTCAACTTCGCCAATAACGACTGCGGATATAACGACAATTTGCGAATAACGACAGAATTTCCATGCCCAGAGCAAAGTCCCATCCCACTGTAATCCACAAAATGAGACTTCGGGTATAACGACACTTCGCGAATAAGGACACCTTTTTGATGCCCCGCCGAGTGTCGTTATAAGCGAAGTTGACTGTACATTCAATCAGACGGAGTGAAACTCATAAAGTGTTTGTGTTTGATCAACACTGTTGCAAACCATGTGTACATGTACATGTACCCGTATGTAGGCAAGCACATGTGGGGTCTTCATTCATGCAGGGAGACCTGTAGACATGTAGTGCTGCGCCACTGTTACAGTGTATGCACAGCATGGGTGATTGTGTAGTGTGTCATTACGCACTGGTACACTTTTAGCTGAACAAACTAAACACAGTGGATGTGCACATCAAAAAATGGAGCCCCCATCCCCCTCCACTCGTTGGATAGACTGTCATATTGCTGTAGGCTGCTTGTGTAGGTAGAACATAGGTGACAATGAATACTTCACTAGATGGTATGTGCATATTGCCTGACTGCACTTACACGGGACCTGCACTGTGGCTACTTTCTGAGTCGGTCTCGGCCTTTACTGATGATCCGACTGCTGCAGAATATCGGGTAATCGTGTCTTGTTCACGGATGGCTCATCCGCCGATGTTGACACCATAGTCTGCTGCACTGGGTATCGGATACACCTGCCGTTCATCGACACCAAGCTCAACAATGTGCTCCTGGACGATGAGAGTAACGAGATCAGTCTGTACAAGAATGTCTTCTCGCCGTCCGTTGGCCCGTCACTGGCGTTCATTGGCTTTGTCCAGCCATCGTCTGGTGGCATACTGAGTATGGCGGAGACGCAGGCGAGATGGTTTGCACAGCTTTGCCTCGGTACTGTGAACCTACCAAGCAAACAACTCATGCAGAAGGACATTGAAGAGGAGCGGCAGGTTGCCAGGGAGCGCTACTGCAAGTCCACGCGTCACACCATCCAACGAGATCCGATCGTCTACAACGACGAGATTGCGTCGCTCTTCGGTGCCAAACCACAGTTCTGGAGGCATCCCCTACTGGCATACCGGCTGTTGCTAGGCAGCTGTGGGTCTGCACAGTGGCGTCTGCAGGGCCCCGGTACATGGAGTGGTGCTAGCAAATTGGTACGCAGCATTCCCGTCACGCCGCTCATGCAGGTCATGTTTTGGGCTCTAGTTCTGCTGCTTGCCTGGATGATCAAAGCCGTCTACTCCGTATTTGCTTGAGCATCCTCGTACACACAGTGAAACACACACGTTACGATGTGCGTGCCGGAGTATCGGCTTTACTTGTGTCAAACACACACTGCTGTGTATGCCAGTATGTCCTGCGTACATTGCTGTGTATGCCAAAGTGTCTCGTACATACATTGCTGTGTATGCTGAGGTACTGTATCTCCTACATACATTGCTGTGTGCATGTGCCGAGGTAACTCTGCCAAGCACACATTGCCTGTGCAGTGCAGAGTACTGTTCTTGCCTTGAGACTGCACTGCAATGCCATGAGTGATTCACTTAGAGGATCCAATATCACTTAGCTACCGTTATTTCCTTTCGTGCTCTTGTTCGTCTACTTCAAGTACAAGCTTTAGATAGAGCAAACGAGCCAAGTTGAGACTACAAACACAATATTATACTAGTCAATAGTATGTTCTTCAAGCTACTTCAGTACTTGTATAATGGACACGCTGACGACTGCCAGAATGATAATAGTGCTCTATGGCATTATAGCTGATATTACTCCGTTCTACGCTACTTTGAAGTCACTTTGTCTATTGCAATGGTGCCATCACGCACCAATGCATTATTATACACAGTGACATAGCATAGCCTATAGCTATCATGATGCAAACTGAACAGATTTAACTGTTCTGTGAAATTTTGCAGCCGCATCATTTTTGTATGTGTTTTTTTCCAAAATGGTTACACATAGTACATACTGTCTGTGGTATACAAGTAGTTTTTTAATGGTGTACAGCTGGGAGTGACTGCACATTTACAGCTGGGAGTGACTGCACATTTCCCTTTATATCTCTTTAAGCTATTTACCTTTCAAATTTAGGAATTGTACATTAAATTTTGTAGTCAATGATGTAGTAATCCCACAAGTCACTGGCATCCTACTTGAACTTCAGCAGATGTAGCTCCTGCATATCTGAAAATTTGACTGTCTTTTCCGGGTATTAGCTACACGTTTATTTTCACAAACCATCCAGAAACTGACAATTCGGTTTATGCTCCGAACATTCATCTCACGACGGACATTTGCAAGCTGGAATGTGACTTTTCACCTCCAAGAGGGAGTGGAGTTTAATTAAGTTAACAGCTAGGCCTTTCCGAATAGCTTGTCATGTACTTGGTACTGTGCTTTGGTTAACACAAACACATTGCCTCTATTTTGCAAAATCGCAGTAGAAAGGACCAAGAGCAACAAAGCTCCACCGCACCTGTCGGCATGAACACACATGCTGGAATTCTCTCCATACGTATTACATGTACCGGTACAGTCAGGCCTCGCTTATCCCGTTCTCTTTTATCTGGATCCCTCGCCATCCGGAAGAAAATAGCTGGTTACAGATTTACAGCACACGTGATGCATCCAACATAGCCGGCGTTCGGTTATCCGGTTCCCTCGCCTATCCGGATGTTTTAGCGGAAAACGAATGTGTGCGGTTAAGCGAGGCCGGTCTGACTGCATTATGTTTAGTAGATCTATGCCAGTGCAGCACAGCTATAATCATGATTAGTATTGATACCCAGACCGTGCCAGCAGCAAGATGTTAGTGATCAGCCAGGCCTGACTACCACCTATAATTGTAGCAGTAACATAGTACCTAGTCACCAACCACTCCGCACAACACTCACGTACGCCATGTACACTGCTGTACACTGCTGTACACTGCTGTACACTGCTGTGCACTGCTGTACACTGTAGTGCTGCATGTAGGAACAGCAAACATGCAGCACTGCCCAGGTAACGTTACTCGCAGCCACCGCAGCACATTGCTAGAACATGACATGGTGAAATAGCTAATCAATCTCAATCATTGGTTTTGCAGCAGGCGTCCTGAAATACAACAACAGAGACAGCTATCACAGACACAGAATGTCATAAAAGAAGAGTTTGTATAGATGATAATGACGTTTAAAAATACTCAAGAATGTCGTTTGATCAACGAAACGCTAAGCGAGCACCTGGTCGCCATCTTATTTCCGTCGTCGTGGCTTCTTCTTGTCGACCACAACTGGTTGCCATGGTACTGGATTACAATACGTCGGCGACATGGGTGCTCTCAGGACATCGAACATTTCGCGACGACGTTCTCTGCTAAGTCGATGATCCGCCTCGGCGCACCATGCTCTGTATGCTTGAGTGGCTCGCAACTGCTTCTCAGCCGTAACGACTTCCTACACGTGCACACACACACACACACACACACACACACACACACACTGAACTATTGGCAACTTGCTTGGTATCAGCTAGTGAATGCCAGACAACTTCTACATTGTAGTATCACGGATATAAATTAGATCGTCAACGAGAGAGCTTGGAAGCTCAGGGCCCTACGCTATGCTTTTTGCCTTGATGACCTAGACCAAAAAAAGCATAGGGATGTTATAAATTCTTATAAATTTCTACTTTTTGTTTTTATACATAACCTGGGATTCGAACCCGCACTATCGCCCTGCATGCATTCCCCGATACACTTCGCATACATACTAATTCTTCCAAGTTGCTTCACGTTATGATCTTGTATTTGAAAGCCCTATTTGAATATGCATTGTGGCCAGCCGCCTTTGATTGTACGGTACGGTACGGGACAGGTACGGTCGAGGGTAATACGACACCATCTACCGACTTGATGACGGCAAATAAAGAATAGGGATGTTATAAATTTTTCAATTCTTCTATTTTTTTCAGGCATTACCTGGGATTCAAACCCGCACTATCGCCCTACATGCATTCCCCCATACACTTCGCATTCATACTCATTCTTCCAAGTTGCTTCACGTTATGATCTTGCGTTTGAAAGCCCTATTTGAATAGTGCGGCCAGCTGTATGTGGCCAGCTGTGTTTGATGGTACGGTACGGTACGGGACAGATACGGGATATCGCCAGGCGTGACACAAACACACAAACACCAAATTAAAGCTGTGTGGACCCTGGCTAGCGCCAGACGTTACTGAAGTAACGTCTTCTGCATAGCTACGGGAATAAATACACGTAGCCGGCCAATGTACCTTGCAAGGTACATCTTCACTGACAAGAAAACACAAGAGCATTCGACATAGTCATCTATATCGTGCACACGGTTGAGATCTGAGCCATTCGCTGCAATGCATACCTTTTCTCTTAGCTTCTGCTGCTCGTGAATGACCTGCACCGTGCTCTCCCGTTGCTTATCCTCCAGCCAAGCACGGAACGCTTGTTCAGCCCTTAGCTCAGTTTGTCGCTTATTCTGTGGAGGACGAAATATTAGAGAGAGGGATAGCTAGTGCACAGACTTTCGGATTTTTAGTCCCATGGAAACTAATGATGCTACAGTAAAACCTGTGACTAACGACCACTCCTTGGGGCCAGAGAAAGCGGTCTTTAGTTAGAGGTTTGCACCGCACAACCATACATGAATGTGAGACCGTCCGTGCCTGACGAAGTGGTCTGTAGTACCAGGCTGGTCGTTAGTCACGGTGGTCTTTAGTTACAGGTGTTACTGTACTTCCAGTAAAAACCTGAATAATAAGGAGACCGCCTGGTAACAGAGACCACGCTTGAAGATCCCCTGAGCGGTCATCTTTGACAGGTTTCACTGTACATTGCACAGGCACAGTTGCATGGACGGTCGCTGTGTGAGACTGCTCTCTGCAATACAGGTTCCACCACCTAGGTACTGGTTTGTAGTTTGTCATTCATTACCCCATACACCGCACGCAGGCGCTCTTTCCCTACCTTGTCCTTCCGTCGGAGTGCCTCCAAGTGAAGCTGTTCATCTCGCTCTTGTTTAGCCTGGTCTTGTCTTGCCTTGCTTGAGCACCATTCTTGCCATGCCGTCTCTGCCTTCTCATGTTGGCGACTCATGGCCTGTCGCTCTGTTTCCACTCTCTGTTGAGCAACTCGCTGTGTCAGAGGCAAATCAGACAAACAGCGGTCACATAGTAAGAATCACAAAAACAACCAGTCATATAGTGGTGGTGGTGGTGGTGGTGGTTATTGGGCACATCTACGCCAGGCAGGGCTATGGCAGGCAGGGCTACGGCAGGCAGGGCTACACCAGGCAGGGTTACGGCAGGCAGGGTTACGGCAGGCAGGGCTACGGCAGGCAGGGCTACGGCAGGCAGGGCTACGCCAGGCAGGGTTACGGCAGGCAGGGCTACGCCAGGCAGGGTTACGCCAGGCAGGGCTACGCCAGGCAGGGTTACGCCAGGCAGGGTTACGGCAGGCAGGGTTACGGCAGGCAGGGTTACGGCAGGCAGGGCTACGCCAGGCAGGGCTACGCCAGGCAGGGCTACGGCAGGCAGGGCTACGGCAGGCAGGGTTACGGCAGGCAGGGCTACGGCAGGCAGGGCTACGGCAGGCAGGGTTACGGCAGGCAGGGCTACGCCAGGCAGGGCTACGCCAGGCAGGGCTACGCCAGGCAGGGTTACGGCAGGCAGGGCTACGCCAGGCAGGGCTACGCCAGGCAGGGTTATAGGCGATTCACACGACAGGCAAATCCACGTTTGTCAGGTGCCCGCAGGAAATGAAACGTGAGGCTGCAGTTCACACGGCGGCGGGTGGTGGCCAGAGCTCCCGCGAGTATCCGGTGAGTATACGGCGTTACTGTGGTGTTTTGGAATGAGTACCCAAAGACAAAGGCCAAACAACCAGGGTTCAAGACTACCGTACGATAGTACGACCTCACAGCCTCATAACTGTAAAAGTGCCCGCAGATGAGTGCATCCGTGGGCAAAAAAGGCCATGGACACTTTTGATTCCCGCGGGCAAATTTTGGTCGCCCGCAGGAATATCTCCATGGTGACTTTCCTGTAAACGTGGATTTGCCTGTCGTGTGAATCGCCTATTATGACAGGCAGGGTTACGGCAGGCAGGGTAACGGCAGGCAGGGCTACCCCAGGCAGGGCTACCCCAGGCAGGGCTACGCCAGGCAGGGCTACGGCAGGCAGGGCTACGGAAGGCAGGGCTACGGCAGGCAGGACTACGGCAGGCAGGGCTACGGAAGGCAGGGCTACGGCAGGCAGGGCTACGGCAGGCAGGGCTACGCCAGGCAGGGCTACGCCAGGCAGGGCTTATAGGCGATTCACACGACAGGCAAATCTACGTTTACAGGAAAGTCACCATGGAGATATTCCTGCGGGTGACCAAAATTTGCCCGCGGGAATCAAAAGTGTCCATGGCCTTTTTGCCCGCGGATGCACTCATCTGCGGGCACTTTTACAGTTATGAGGCTGTGAGGTCGTACTATCGTACGGTAGTCTTGAACCCTGGTTGTTTGGCCTTTGTTTTTGGGTACTCATTCCAAATCACCACAGTAACGCCGTATACTCACCGGATACTCGCGGGAGCTCTGGCCGCCACCCGCGGCCGTGTGAACTGCAGCCTCACGTTTCACTTCCTGCGGGCACTTGACAAACGTGGATTTGCCTGTCGTGTGAATCGCCTATAAGGCAGGCAGGGCTACGGCAGGCAGGGCCACGGCAGGCAGGGCTACGGCAGGCAGGGCTACGCCAGGCAGGGCTACGGCAGGCAGGGTTACGGCAGGCAGGGTTATAGGCGATTCACACGACAGGCAAATCCACGTTTACAGGAGAATCACCATGGAGATATTCCTGCGGGCGACCAAAATTTGTCCGCGGGAATCAAAAGTGTCCATGGCCTTTTTGCCCGCGGATGCACTCATCTGCGGGCACTTTTACAGTTATGAGGCTGTGAGGTCGTACTATCGTACGGTAGTCTTGAACCCTGGTTGTTTGGCCTTTGTCTTTGGGTACTCATTCCAAATCACCACAGCAACGTCGTATACTCACCGAATACTCGCGGGAGCTCTTGCCGCCACCCGCGGCCGTGTGAACTGCAGTTTCACGTTTCACTTCCTGCGGGCACATGACAAACGTGGATTTGCCTGTCGTGTGAATCGCCTATTACGGCAGGCAGGGCTACGCCAGGCAGGGCTACGCCAGGCAGGGCTACGGCAGGCAGGGTTACGGCAGGCAGGGCTACGGCAGGCAGGGCTACGGCAGGCAGGGTTACGGCAGGCAGGGCTACGCCAGGCAGGGTTACGGCAGGCAGGGCTACGCCAGGCAGGGCTACGCCAGGCAGGGCTACGCCAGGCAAGGCTACGCCAGGCAGGGCTACGCCAGGCAGGGCTACGGCAGGCAGGGTTACGGCAGGCAGGGCTACGGCAGGCAGGGTTACGCCAGGCAGGGCTACGCCAGGGAGGGTTGTACTCCAGTAAAAATAAACATTCAGTGCTGACAAGTGTTCCACTCGACTAGCTGTTTAAAAACAAGCAGTGTACCTCGTGTTGTAGTTGAGCAGCAGTGCAATCGCGCTCTTGCTTTGCTTTCTTTAACAGCCATGTATCCCATGCACTTAGATCCTCCGTTGCCACCGCCACCGACTCTGCAACACAGGACCGACACATTAAGCCGCAAAGCCGAACAACAATAAACTTTAAGAACTCAGATGGTGAGCCAAGGAAAAATTGTATTAAACTTGGACAAATGTGGGCGCAAGTCATGCGCATAGCGTGTGCCCACATTTCTTCCAAGTTCATGTACCAACTTGACACAACAATCTACTGTAAAAGCAGAAATTTTTGGTGGTGTAATCTTTTCGGTATTCTCCAAAATCGGCGCAGTTCAGTGGAGGGAAAATTCCGCAAACCCGTGTTCCAGGTACCGTACTAGTAAGTGTTACTAGTGTGTTAATATTAGGTTGCGTTTTATTTTACGTAAAAATTGTCGGCACCGAAGTTACCGAAAATAAAACACCACCAAAATGTTCTACTTTTACCGTACGTACATAACAATTATGAGCGGTGTGAAGAGATCGTCCACACTGCTAGTCTGAACAGGCTTCAGACTAGCAGTCGTTGAGCTCGGTGTCTGTTGTTGTTGTAGGAGTAGGCAACAGTGCAACACTGATACAGGAATGCTCTCAACACCAGTACTTGTACAAGCAGCACTATCCTAGCCTGATACAGGTGGACTGGTGCATGCAGTGTGTGGCTCAGTACCGCTGCCTAGTCCGGATCAGCCTTGCTGATCATACATACAGGCCCAGTCAGAGGCAGTCACGCAGACTGAGCACTGGCAGTGGTGTCGGGGTGGTAGTACAGCCAGCTCAATACTCAAAACTGATCATGCAGTATCCACAGTATAACCAAGAGCACACCAGAGTGGATTAGTGGTACAGTCAGACCCCTCGCCATCCGGTCCTCTTTTATCCGGATCCCTCGCCATCCGGAAGAAAATCATTGGTTACCGATTTACAGCAAATGTCATGCATACATACAGTATGTGTGTTCGATTATCCGGTTCCCTCGCCTATCCGGACATTTTTCTGACCGTAGAGAATCAGTGCTGGCTATAACTTTATAAGCGGCCAGGGCCCCTACTTGCAGTCCTGCATGCTGCAGAGTGGCAGTCAAGATTTTCTTCATTTCAACTCCCTCAAACTTATGAAGATACGGTATTGCTTGTGTAGTCCTTCCAGCACAAAATCTAAATTTTAACGGCAACACCGTTACCATGGTAACAGCGTGAACCTCACTGGCTGTAGTGAAGCAGTAGTACCTGGAGTTGGTTGAGAACCAGAAACACCTTGCTGTCTTCCCTGTCGTCCAGTGGCTGATGATGAGCTACGCGGTTTGACGGGTTGAAATGTGCCCGGTTTGCGACTGGGTTTCTGTGGCATGCCCGTCGCACTGCGTGTGCCACACCTGCCTGCCACTAGTGCAGCCTTGGATGGCCGCCGGGTCGATGGTGCAGTACTAGTGGCAGTAGTAGCATGGTTGACAGACTCGGCTCGACTAGTCTTGGCTGCAGCATGTGTGTGCCTTTGACTAGGACACGCAATGTCTAACTGCAATGTGTCCTCACTATCCGTGAGCGAAGACAGGGTGCCAGAACTCAGAAACTGTTGCTGTGCAGCAAAACTGGGATCACTGTCAGACTCTAGCCCTGCGACGTTAGACTTTTTCTCCGTGTGTATCACGCTTGCGTGTGTGGTGTGGCGAGCGGCCGCATTCTGCCCCATCGGGTCAACGAGTAGTTTGGTAGGAGCGCTGTGTGGATCAGTGGTTGCTGTCGCGACGTTGGTGGCGCCGCGCCGTGGAGAATCAGCTGCTGATAGTTCAGCACACCCTGCGCCATGGGTACTATCACTGATGGTAGCTGCGGACAGTCCAGCTGAGGACAACATTGAGTTACTACTGCTGCTGCTGCTGCTTAGATGGCTTAGTACGCTGCTGCCACCGCCCTGATCTTGCTGTGCTGTCTGACAGCTGTCGTCGGAAAGATGGCCATCTCCCTGACTGGTGATTTGCTTGCTGGACATGTGGGTGGACGTCGACATTGCTGCACAACAAGTCCTGTAGACGGTTCCTGCGATTCCGGCGTATTGGTAATGTAGTGCAGTCTTTCACAATCCGTGTCCTCCACAGTATACACAGGACGCTTCCTGCACTCGTCGCTTGCCGAACACACTGCCGCTGTGCCAGTCCGCTATTCCACAGTCACCGAGCCATCACCACGCCATCACTACATCAGCATAAGAAGGGCAGTTCAGTGATGCTACCCACGTCAATAACATAATATCTGCACATGTGAACAGGAAATAGCAGAGAACAGCCATGACATCATTATGACATCATCATAATGACAACTCTGCACAATATGCAGCAGTGAGACAAGCTAGACTAGAGTACATGCATGGCGTGAGCAATGGACTGTACATGCATGTGCATGGAGGATGACCGCGGTATTGTAACAATAGCACCATGATACTGCATGAATAATCCCATTGTGCAATGAATGCATACCTGCCCGACCTTTGTTAACCTGAGATCGGGACAATGATCATACCCATCTATGAACATGTAACTGTTATGCAAATATAGCCGTGAGGCACGCGACAAATGCACTTTTGGGTGCCTATTACCACCCCCGATTTCGGGACAGTCCCGGCCAAATGGGGATGGTTGGCCGGTATGGCAATGCAGTAGTCTGTACCACCAACACCACAGTACACTAGTGACCCCACGCGATGGTCGCCTGGCTATGCTTGTGTAAAGTGCTGAACAGTGTGAACAGTGCTGAACAGTGCGGCTGCCGCATTGCTGATCCCAGCATACAGTACTCACGTGTATTCCTCGTACATTGGACTCGTATTTGGCAATGTGCAAAGGGGTCTATCACCTTGGCTAAAGATACACACTAGTCACTTGCCTCACTGCTTGCCTTGCTGCTATTTCAGCAGGCGCTCCACAATGTCACAATTACATATTCTGTATGTCTCTGGGTCTGGGTGTGATGTACAGTCAGACCTCGCTTATCCGGATCCCTCGCGACCCGGAAGAAAATAGCTGGCTACAGATTTACAGCATACGTGATGCATCCAATGTAACCGGTGTTCGGTTATCCAGTTCCCTCGCCTATCCGGATATTTTTGTGGAAAACGGATGTGTGCGGTTAAGCGAGGTCTGACTGTACTGTTAGCATTTTCAAGCCTTACTGATCAATGCAAGGAGCAGTCTGTGTGTAATGAGTAGCTATGTATGGAGCAGCTAGTCTGTGTGTAATGAGTAGCTGGCCATGTGAGTTCCATAGAAAATCGATTGTGCCTGAGACATGTTGCGTGTCTGGGAAGGGGTGTTAATAGAGAGGTTAAGCTTTACGTGACACGAAAGTTCAGCTCGCGTGTTGGAAAACAACGCGAGTGACCTGCAGCTCACGTCGAAATTTGAAGGTTTACGCCTAATTTGACGTGATATTGCGCATCACGTCAGAAATAACGTGCAGCTTAACCTCTCTCTAATAGTCAGTCATGTGAAGTGTGTACAGAGCACCTTGGTAAGCACATATAGATCATCTACATGTATGTGCTTGACCCTGCTAGGAATGGGAAGGTGGGTTACTAGCACCCCTTCCACAGAGAGTAGTGTGCAGTATGAGCTGATAGAACTTCCATGACAGCGACCTCCATTGGAGAAGGACCCCTGCTGTCTAGTGGAAGAGTTGCCTGAGGCTCAGCCGTACTTCTTATCGGTATCTTTGAGTACAAGAACATTTCAACATGCTACATTATTGTGCTCCTTTGTGGGTGTTCCAGTAAGAAAGCTATGTTTCTTTGCCGATAGATTTCTTCGTGCTATGGGTCATCTCTTACTCTGTGTGTGTGTGTGTGTGTGCCAGCTAGTTCAGTTGGTGGGTACACTTATGCCTGATTGTGTTGGGTATGTTGCCAACGGGCTCAGCTGCTTGAAGGTGTAATGTTGTACTTGCCACCTTTGTTGGTTCCAGGGTTCATATACTTTCTATTTGAAGTATACATACCTGTTAACCATGGACTGCTTCTGGCTAGATTAACTCTTGTGTAATCGATGGGGCTAGTGATGTCTAAATCAGATCCAGCCTGATTTAGCCACCCGCACTAGTAGCAAGTATTACCTCCACTGGGGGCAGGGGTAACTGCAGTTGGATCCCAGGACGGATACCCTGATGCCGTCAATCCTTTTTCTGCACCTTGTCCACACCCACTTACTGAGGTGTGGTGAGCCCATAAGTGGGATCGTTTTCAAGTCCACCCAGAGTTTTGGGGATTTCAGGGGGTGTCGGCCGTTGGGCGGTTCAATAACCAATTGAGTCATCTTTCCAAGATTCCTTTACAGTCTCTCTCCCCTCTCCCGGGGAGACCCACGTGACCACTTTTGGCAGTGAGCAACAAGTACAAGTACAGGTGTGTGTGTGTGTGCGTGTGTGTGCATGTCTCTCTCTCTCTCTCTCTCTCTCTCTCTCTCTCTCTCTCTCTCTCACACACACTCTCTCTCTCCCTCTCTCTCTCCATCCGTTCTGTTGTACCTTTCAGCCAAGTTCATTTAACCCCCTCTTGGATGATTCCATCGTCATGGCGCGTCGTCTGCACGCACTCGGCAAGGATGTGACACTACGCCCATTCGACGGAATATCCCATGGCTTCCTCAACTTCCACGCAGTCAGCCGCTTGGCGCAGCAAGCCACCAACGTGTGCATTGAGTTGATGGACGCAGCAATCAAGCAACACGACCAAGATGTTTACCGTAATGTCGCGTGCATTAGCCGGGGCTTATATGCCTATAAGCCGGTGATGGAGTCAGGCTTGTACACAAGACAGGCTTATACACGAGACAGGCTTATATGACAAGCACCACTCAATGACCAGGCTTGTATGTGCAAACTGCTGACTTTTGGACGTCAAAACCAACATTTTCCAACGGGATGTTGATTGCTGGTGTTGATTTCCGCATCTTCCCACGTTTTCCGCGTGTGCAAGTGTACGGTACCATGCAAACATGAACATGTAAAAGGCGCGCTCACCAGTCTTGCGTAGTAGCCCGGCTTACGCACGCGACACGTGGCGCGTCTCGTGTACTGGCCCGGCTTATGCATGCGACAGGCTTGTACGCGAAAAGCTGTTGCAGATTTCATGCTTCTACACGAGACAGGCTTATGCACAAATCCGGCTTATGCACGCGACATTACGGTAGTCGTGATACAAGTAGTGCCTATTGCAGTACGAGATGTCACCACTCATGCGTTCTCAGTGCAGCACCGGACATTTGCCCATTGGCACTCATTTTACGAGTATTGAACTATTTTTTTAAATACTTAAGTAAGGTCCATAATTAGTTTTATTCCCGTAGCTATGCAGAAGACGTTACTGAAGACGTTACTTCAGTAACGTCTGGCGCTAGCCAGGGTCCACACAGCTTTAATTTGGTGTTTGTGTCACGCCTGGCGCTATCCCGTATCTGTCCCGAACCGTACCATCATACACAGCTGGCCACATACAGCTGGCCGCAATATTCGAATAGGGCTTTCAAACGCAAGATCATAACGTGAAGCAACTTGGAAGAATGAGTATGAATGCGGAGTGTATGGGGGAATGCATGCAGGGCGACAGTGCGGGTTCGAATCCCAGGTAATGCCCGAAAAAAATAGGAGAAAAATTTATAACATCCCTTTTCTTTTTTTTGCCGTCATCAAGGCGGTAGACGGTGTCGTATTACCCTCGACCGTACCTATCCTGACCGTACCGTACAATCAAAAACGGCTGGCCACAATGCATATTCAAATAGGGCTTTCAAATACAAGATCATAACGTGAAGCAACTTGGAAGAATTAGTATGTATGCGAAGTGTATCGGGGGATGCATGCAGGGCGATAGTGCGGGTTCGAATCCCAGGTTATGTCTAAAAACAAAAAGTATAAACTTATAAGAATTTATAACATCCCTATGCTTTTTTTTGTCTAGGTCATCAAGGCAAAAAAGCATAGCGTAGGGCCCTGAGCTTCCAAGCTCTCTCGTTACCAAGCATCAAGTTGAAGTGGTTTGGACATGTTGCAAGGCATCAGGATAGCTACTCCCACTATTTCTTGGATGGAATAGTGCCTGGTTCTTGGCTGCATGTAGTCTAGCCTATTTTGCACTAGCGTGACCCATGCTACCGGCATACCGACAGCTCCTAAACAAAAAATAATGCGGTGCCCACGTTATTGTTGATATAAATATGACTGTGGCTAGTAGGGTAGTGATCAACACAGTAAAGAAATATACACCAGTTCTATGTGCGATAGTGCAGATCTGATACTTGCTGGATATAACATTGGAGGTTAGCGTCAATATGCACTTGGAACACTAGGGACAGGCCAGCCGTCTAGATGACTACATTATCATACTCCCATCAGAGGGTGTACATGATTTAAACATACACACATAAAACGAGGCACTCAACTGTGAATGTACAAAGAGCCATGCGAACACGTAGTCTATGTCTTTTTCTTAGCCTTGGCGCGGGGCACCTTCGTGTCCGCGGATGCCCATGCCTTGAGGGCACACAGCTTCTTGCCCAGGTCAGTCAAGTCGACACCAGCTAGTTCAACCTACAAGTACACCATGTAAACACAGAGATAACACTGTGTTACATGTGTGTATCAAGACTCGCTGACTGAAGACTCACGAATCATGCATGCTCATATCACACGTGCGCATGCGAGACAGGAGACAGTTTGGGGAATGTCATCACACAGGAAAACAATACTAGCACATCGTTACACCACTGGCACTATGATAGGCATGTGACGTCACCCGGATGATGTGGATACATGAATGCAAGGGTATCCGGGATGTGAATACAAGAACACAGACAACAGCACAATAAGCACACAGCTACAGGAAACAACGCGAGGGGCAGTACCCAGAGCACACACAGGGAAGCAAACAATCACATGATCCGCTAGGCAGCAGCAGGACAACAAAACAGCCTAAGGACTACGAGATCTCGTATACTTAGCAGCAGGACAGACACATCCATTACTGGTCACATCAGCCGGCGGAGCACCCGCAACATACCTTGTCCTTGATAAGCTGTCCACGATTCTTAGCTCGTTCTGAGTGGAGGTTGATGGATGGGAACATCTTTACAAATTGAACATACCTGCAGAGGACATTGTAGGTCCACAAGAACTTGTCATAACACGAACCCACACATAGCCTAGAGGGATGATCCTTTCCCACCAACGACTACTATTCAAGACTTCAAGTACCATAGTACAATACATGTC